CTTGAAACCCTACAAGAAGCCCTCATCATTGTATGGTTAGTTGTTCCATGGGGGCGGGGCATTTTGATAGCTTCTTGAAACCCTATAAGAAACCCTAATTACTGTATGATTGAGTGTTCCGTTGGGCTGGGGGATTTTGTTTTTTCTAACCTTTAATCAAAAAAATACTTTACTTCGTGTGATCCCACCATGACATTTATACATTTTCTTACTGGCAAATCTTCTGGCATATCTTCTGGCATTCTATCTGGCATTCTATCTGGCATTCTATCTGGCATATCTTCTGGCATATGTTCTGGCATATCTTCTGGCATGCTATCTGGCATATCTTCTGGCATATCTTCTGGCATTCTATCTGGCATATCTTCTGGCATATTATCTGGCAAATCTTCTGGGATTCTATCTGGCATATCTTGTGGCATTCTATTTGACATTTTATCTGGCATTCTATCTGGCATACCTTCTGGCATTCTATCTGGCATATCTTCTGGCATTCTATCTGGTATATCTTCTTGCATTCTATCTGGCATATCTTCTGGCATTCTATCTGGCATATCTCATGGCATTTTATCTGGCATCTCTTCTGGCATTCTATCTGGCATATCTCATGGCATCTCATGGCATTTTATCTGGCATATCTTATGGCATTCTATCTGGCATTCTATCTGGCATATCTTCTGGCATTCTATCTGGCCGTTGAGGTCCAGCGGTGCACACTGAGCTGGGCAGGTCCCAGGTTGAGGTCCAGCGGTGCACACTGAGCTGGGAAGGTCCCCGGTTGAGGTCCAGCGGTGCACACTGAGCTGGGCAGGTCCCCGGTTGAGGTCCAGCGGTGCACACTGAGCTGGGCAGCTCGCAGATTGAGGTCCAGCGGTGCACACTGAGCTGGGCAGCTCGCAGGTTGAGGTCCAGCAGTGCGCGCTGAGCTGGGAAGTTGGCGAAGAGCTTGGCGACGAGTTGGCAAGGTTGGCAAGGCGGAAGTGGAGGTGGAAGAGGCGGAGGCGAGGAGGAGGGCGAGGAGGACAGCTAGCCGAGGAGGAGGAGGAGGAGGAGGAAGAGGCGGCGGGCGGGCATGCGCTCTGATAAAATCTAACAACCCTCACCTGGCAGGTGGGGAACTAATGACTGTATAGTTTCTTCCATATAGTATGTAGGAGCGACATGTTCTAGGTATGTGATGTGTAACATAGAAGCAACATGTTCTGGTGAACACCCTAGCAGCATACTTGAACATAAAATCCTTCCCGTCGTTTGACGTCGTACAGAATTCCGTGGTATTTACGCTATTCTGGGCTTGGGCAAACCTCAGGGTCTGTGTGTAGTAGAACAGTTAATTTCACACTAGATGTGATACCTGATAGTGTTATTACTGTTGTCAAGTTACCATGATTATTGTTATTGCTATTAGCACATTGCTATTAACATAGTAAGAATATATATAGAGTAGTAATAAACATATTACTAAAATAAAGGGATTATTGCCGTGATTATTATTATTGTTACCATTATTACTACTGCTATTGCCGTTATTATTAATGTTACCATTATTACCACCAGAATTGTTATTACCATTATATAATTAATTATATATACTATTATAAATAACACTACGTATAATAGGAGTAGTCATAAATGATATACAACATTATGGTTTACTGTTACCATTATGGATGATCATGTTTACTGGGATTTTTACTGACATCATCATCATTGCTATTTTTCTGATTATTGCATAATAAATAACTTTACCAGTGCAATTAACTTTTCATTCGTTGCCAGTACAATAATTGCTATTACCTACTTTCATCATTGCTATCATCATCATTGCTATTATTGTACAATTAACTTTTCCATACCCCTTTGAATTCCACTGGTACCTCGGGGAGGTTGATAAAAACAACTGATGTTTAAAAAAATGATGGTAAGGAAAAAAAATGTTTCAACAAATGCTTTTAGAGACCCCAAGGGTTTTGATTACCATTATTATTACCTTTACCATGATTGTGAACCATTATTAACATTGTTAGTACCACGAAGAACTTGCAATTCTTAGTTATAAAACCATTCATCATTATAAACCTTACCACTATACACATCCTAATCATATTAAAATCATTATTCTGATTACCTGTAGAGTCTACCATTATGCATATTCTTATTCAGTACCATTAGTTCTTTAATACCATTCATGATCAACACTAGTAGCATGATCTCATTCATACTACCATTAGTATGGTGTTACAACTAATTCGTATTGTAACTAACGGCTCTAGCATTGTTCTAATATACCAATACTATTACCAACTAGATGATTAGGATTAGTTGTTCTATTATTATTGTGGTAGCTTTAAATGGTAACTAATTGTAATAATACCATATTATCATTATTAGTTACCATTAGTTAAACAGTTTGTTTAATCATTCATTGCCAATTTTTAATCATCAATGTTATCGTTGGTTACCGTTAGTTTACTAGGATGAATATCCATTATAATCACTCATGAATGAATATCATTAGTTCATTAATATAACCATTATCCATGGTAATAAAAGTTAACCTTATATATATTATATATATATATATCATAAATAGTAAAACGTTTCCATTCTCATTAGTACCATAAACTTCACCAAATAACCCTTTAATGGTTACTAATCATTATCACTTTAATTGTTTAGTTAGTAATCATTATCCGGGTTACCATTATATTATATTATCATTATTAGTTACCATTCTTGTTAGTTGCCATTAGTTACCACCATTATCATTAGTACCAATTATCATTAGTTTCCATTAGTAATCATTAATCTGGGCAAATTATCATAATTCACTAACCTGAAAAAAGGCCATGTTGCCATGATTTCCCTTATTAACCCATGATTCCAGCGAGGTCGCAGTGAGGTCGTTATGATTAGTTACCATTAGCTAAGCCTAATCATTATCATTACATATCATTACCATTATCATGGTACTAACGATTATCATTATCATTAACCATGATAATCTGGGTGGTGGTTGGCCTACCCCTCTGAAAAATATGAGTTCGTCAGTTGCGATGATGACATTCCCAACTGAATGGAAAGTCATAAAATTCATGTTCCAAACCACCAACCAGCCATTAATATTCCATTACCAGAGTGTTAATCACCATTAATATCACCATTAATATCCCCATTAAACCACAAAAATATGAAAGTCAGTTGGGATGATTATTCCCAATATATGGAAAAAAAATGTTCCAAACCACCAACCAGTAATCATTCGTAACCCTGTCAAGTTCACCCTTACCTCGGAGCCGCCGGCGAATGCAGTTCGGTCCTCCAGGTCCTGCTTGTGACCAAGAGAACTGGTGGTTTTACCAGCAAGAAATGTGGGAAATATGTGTGAAAATGTGGGAATCATGTGCAAAGATTGATCTTTGAGCAAGCAAAGATTGATGCAAAAAAAAACATCGTGATTTTGCCAGCAAACATATGCAAAGATAGTGGTTACAACTTAAAACTTGAATTATCCGGTTCGAGTGAAAATGCGGATTCAGGCAGGGACTGTCACCAAAGATCTGGGTGTCGCCTTGGACGCTTTTTGACTTGCTTGGTCAGTGGACTTGGTGAACCTCCGACAAAAACAAATAGCATCAAACTACCCATCCCAAGTTTTCCCGGTACACAACCTTGGATCTGCTCCAAAGGGGCCAAAAGAAATCCAGAGATTTTCCTAATCACTACGGATCATATTCCCTGTACTTGGTGGGTATCCCACTAAGATGTGTTTCTTCAAGTCACATTAAGAACATCCAAGAAATATACAATATACAGTCCACTTTGGATTGTTGAATATCCCGCATGATGCTCCATATGGGGATGTCTAAAAATGGGTATCCTCAAACTGTAGGTTTCAAGACTATAATAATTATAATGGTCGTCTAATGGTTTGCATGATTTGGGGGTATACCCATGATTAAGGAAACCTCCAAGGAATTTCAGCCTCGGCCCAGCGGTTACGGGTGGCCCTTGGATTTTCCGTCCTTCGGGTGTGGGGCTCTGCTATAGTACGCGGATGAGCTGGAATAACGCCCTGGGAGGGGATGAATCTGGAGAATTCAATTCCAAATAGATTGACATTCGACAACCTAGAAACTATGAAGCATCATTTGAAACATCCTGAAAAAAACGGTTCTATCGATTTTGGGACCCAGCTTTGTGTGGTAAACCCAGCAAGAAACGATTCCCAGATTTGAAGAGAAATTGGTGGCATGTTAAACACACCGTCCTTAGTTGGAAGGTTTGTCAATCACTAAAAATGGATCCAAAACCAACCGGAATCTTGTCCAAACCCCAAGCCACGCAACCAAAATCTAGTTTAAACATGGAGAGTTCAACAAACAAATTCATCAAAGATTTGGGTTTCGACCACCATGAAAAATGACATAGGGAGTTTTCGTCATCGATCAAGAACCTGATTCCCATTTTGATGGTTCCCAAGATGTTTGAATGACATGCAAAGTGCCCTAATCTCCATCCCCTGATCCCTATTGAACTACGTGGTACAAACCCGTTTAAGAATCTTGCATACAAACAGCAGGGACTTTGGGCACTGCTGAATGGGTGAACAATATTGGGGTATTGCATTGCAAAATATTGGAAATAATAACAAGAAAATGACTGACAGGCTGGGAAGGTTTTCTTTCATTGGATTTGATGTATAGATCCCAAGAACGTTGTGATTACCAGCATCACGCCAATGAAATCAACAAAATTTAAAACATGTGTGGAGAAACCTTGAATTTTTAGAATTAAAATGATATATATATATATATTGTGAATTTCCAGGCGTCATTGGATGTGATTCGTGATGCCGCTGCATATCGGCTGGACAGGCCTTGAGCCTCTATTGCTGGATGGTAGAAAACAGAAAGTTGAGCGGCAGTTGTGAGGTCATAGGACCTGGGAGCTAGAGGTAGATAGCCCCATAGCTGTTGGGGCGCTACCCGTGCTTCCGCATGGTAGTGGAGCCCTATAGGCTCCAAGCCAGGGCATCCGTGCGCCAGCGCTGTTTGCTGGTGAATTTGGCCATCAAGGTCAACACGTGCAGCACCTTTGACATTTGTTAGAAGGACTCTGGATCATTCAGAGATCTTGTCTTCGATGGCAGACCTGGTAATTATCGAAAATTCCGGAGAAAGACAATTCTTGCTGTAGCTGGTTTAGAGGAAGAGCATGTGCATTTAGCTGGACCAAGGTTGCTCACGAGACTTCAAGGAGAAGCCTACCAAGCCACTGAACACTTAGCAGTGTCGGACTTGCGCCGTGAAGATGGTTGGCTGCAGGTCATTCGAGCCTTGGATACCCACTATGCCTTCTTGCCTGAGACCGAGTTGCATGAAGCCATAGATAGTTTTCTGTTTGATCTGCGGAAGAGGCTGAAGAGGCCCCATGAAGGTGCCACAGCCTTTGCATCGAGGTTCAAAACAGCCTTGTCCCGAGTTCAAGCACTGATTGCACAGGAACGTTCAACAGCCAAGACCAAGAAAAGCAAGAGCAAGGGTTCTGTTGCCAGTGCTGAGCCTGACAATGGTAGCATAGAACTTAGTGATCAGAGTCTGAGCCGAGATCAATCAGTCCTGGTAGGCCGACAGCCGCCCCACCAAGTACATTAAGTACATCCGCCGAAGCATCCGGCCAAGCAGCTATAGTGTGCCGCCTGAACCCCCTGCACCAAGAGCTGCAGCCTCACCACCTGGTGACGCTGATGAGCAGAAAATTGCCCGCAGCCGTGAGACATCCGACCATGGACGTCGCTGTCATAGCAGCCGAGGTTCCAGAGGTACACACTCAGGTGACAAAAGAAAGAAGAGCTGAAAATGGCAAGTTATGAACCATAGAGGTTGGCCACACCAAGCCTTCGCCGATCTTTCCATCTACTGTTTTGGGCCATGCCACTGGCGGTTCATCCCGCTTTGCAGAAGTCGAGAGGATTCTCCGTGCCTCCGATTTTGATGAACCCCGCAGCCGTCAAGATGAAAGACGCCAACACACACACACACGCCATGGCAGTTCCCGAACTCCCCGACGGGAATCATATGCAGTTGCCCACCGTGAGCAAGAAGTGCATGCCATGGAAGATGATTCATCTGATCTGCAAGGGCCTTTGACACGTGGTTCAGATTCCGATGACGCATACATTGCTGATCAACCTGCCGATGGTCCTCCTGACCATGATGAGAATGATTCCGACTTGGAGTTGCAAGAAGCGTATGAGTTGAAACAAAACGCCAAGAAAGATTTCAAGAAATCATTCAAAAACATAAAAAGGGAGCCTAAGAAGGGTCAAGGAGAGCAAGAAAGCAAGAAAGCAAGACAGCCATACTACCCAGTAGTTGCCTTGAGTCAGCCAGGTGGCAGCAGTGCCAGCACTTTGCAGCCTGCCAATGCCTCATCTGCACCCAAGCAACAAGAGTTCAGGTATGACAAGTCCAAGCAGCAGAAAATGTTTCCGCCAAAGCGTCAGCCACGGAAAGAAGATGCCCATTTCACCACTGGGACCGTAACGACTGACTTTGCATACATGAATGTCACACAAGAGTGGAACAATGAGTCATCTGGTAGTCCGACCTTGGATGTTTTGTTGGCCTCCATGCCTGAGGGTTGTGCAATCATTGACACTGGATGCACTACAAGCGTGATCAATCTTGACACTGCAGTTCGCTACCAAAAACTCTTCGAGCAGAAGGGCCTTCCAAGCCCTGAAAAGTGCACTTTGCCAGCTGTTGAGTTGAAGGGCTTTAGTGGAGACCGCAGGATCACCACATATGGACTGAGATGGACAGTGAAGATTGGTGAACTTTGGGGAACTATCACAACGTGTGTGGTCAATGGCCCTACACCTTTCCTTTTATCGAGGCGAGTCCTAGAAGGGATGGAAGCCAATCTGGATATGGGAAAAGGGACAATCAGCAGTGCCAAGCATGGAGTGAAAGATGTGCCTTTGAAACATGCTGCAAATGGCCATTTCCTCTTGCCGTTTTGTGATGAGCCTTCCGAGTTTGAACCCACATGCCCGCGATCCGAACAAAGTGCAGGCGTAGCCATCACTGATGCCGACGATGGTTCACCTGATGTCGTCCCCGTGTCAGAGTCCGAGACTGCTGGATCCGAATCAGCAGTGCCAAGCAATGAGCCCAATGACGCAGCAAATGCCACAACATCCAGTTCCATGGAGAGGCGTGACAAACCGCCGTGCCGTCGAACTAAGAAGCAAGTTTTGCAACATGTTGTGAAGAACACTAGAAAGGGTGTTGTAAATGTTCATAGGTTTAGAAATGAGCTTGTCCAGCTGTTTGGAAGTAGAGCCTCAAAATGCACGCACGCCTTTTTGGCATATAGGCCACGGTTAGAACGTATCCCTGAAGATGCTGAGAAGCAGCCATACTTGAGAAGTATTGCCACTCAGACCAGTGAGGGTGACATGTCCATACAGCCTTGGAACACCCGTGCCGCAGGCAGTGAGAAGGCCAGTGTTGTACAGACTAACATAGGGCTAACACTCAGGATGCCACTGTCTCTGCTGCAGCGAGGATGTTGACCCACGCATGCAACCGTCCATACCGGATGGGCCTGGTTAGAAACTGCTTATGAAGAAGTTGATTGGGTTAACTGTAACAGGGGTAAAGTGGAAAAAAAACGGGGGATAGGCTAGGAGTAAGAAGAACATAAGGTCCATAAGAAAACTGAATACCCAGGTAATCCTTTCCCGGCTTCATGATGAGTATGATCAGGTTCTTGAAGAATTGAGAGATTGGTTAGGTCCACAAGCTTCAGCCTTAGAAAGCCCAGTTCACATGATCGAGGTGTTCACTGACCATGCACCACTTGCCAGGAAAGTTTCCGAACGTACTGGTAAGAGCAGTATCATTTTGGGTTTGAACCATGGACAGAACTTCAACAGACTTCAGGGTCGCCGCTGGCTCATGTACCTCATAGCTGTTGTTAGGCCAAGTCATGTTCGGTTTTCTTTTCCATGTGGTTGCTGGGGACCTTGGAGCCGTTTCAACATTGCGGTGGCCAATCAGAATCCACAGTTTTGCAGCAGAGAAAGGAAGCGTGCAGTTTCTGAAGCCTGGCAACTCCAACGTTTGCTCAGAGGACACTGTCATGCTCCTCTCACTTCAGAAGCATGGTCTGAGATTTCTGTAGGTGAAGTTTTCGATGTCCGCATAGACATGTGTAGCGTAGGTATGCGATGCCCCAAGACAAATATTCCAGTGAAGCCAACTAGGATCATGATCACCATGAAGGAGCTTGCTGATAGGTTGTCTTCATGTCGTTGCGATCACAAACATGGCCATGCTCACTTGGAAGGAAAGTTATCCCAAATAAATGTGTCGCATCGTTGCCGAAGTCATAGCCCAATGGAGCATGGACCCACTCATATCATATGATGTGTTGTTTGATGAGGATGATGATGAAATGGAACAGCAGCAGCATGATGAAATGGTTCCACACCAAGAGGGCGAGCCTCAGCCCTTAGCAGTTAGCCAAAAGATCAAAGCAATCGTCCAAAAACTTCATGTGAACAGAGGTCATGCTTCACCAGAGCAAATGTTGCGTTTAGCCAAGCGTCGCAAGTCCTCAGCCGAAATGCAGACAGCCATCAAGCAGTTCAAATGTCCAGTTTGTGAAGAGCTTGAGGTTCCACAGAGCCGTAGGCAAGCCACCATGCCCCATGCCGAAAATCCTAATGACATAGTTGGAAAAGATTATGTCCAGGTAGAACTTAATCGTGAAGATGATCAAGGGGTAATGAGGGCGATAAAACATAATGTCCTGACATGTGTTTGCCTTGCCACCGGTTTTGCCCAGCAAATCATATGCCCGACAGGCCACTCCATGGCCGAAGCATTCCACAATGTATGGGCTCGACCATATGGCCTTCCAAATACTGTTTACATGGTCCCTGCCATGGCTGATGTCAGTAATGAGTTTCAAACTTACCTTGCACAGAGTGACATCAAGCTTGTGCTGGCTGCTGCAGAATCCCACTGGCAGAGTTGGGTGGCAGTTGTGAGGTCATAGGACCGAGGAGCTAGAGGTAGATACCCCATAGCTGTTGGGCCGCTACCCGTGCTATCCAAGAAGTGGAATGGCCAGCCTGCGCCGCACATCAAAGCAATATAATTCAAGCACATACTTTATGGTAAACCCAGAATGTATTATTTGGATGCCCATGGACACCAGCAAAGACCGCTTGTAAGATTTAAATCATACCCGAGGTTTTCCGGAAGAAACCGAGGTTTTCCCTAAGAACCAGGGAATACCCGAGGTATTTGAGCGCCACCTTGGAATTTTCCAGGGTTTGGTCTAGGTATATATATATATATATAATTATATATATAATGATATATATAATTATATATATATAATTATATATATAGTTCTGGATCCTATGAAAAAGTGGGTTTCAAACGCGCGCCCACAATGGGCTTTGAAGGGGACAAACTATTGCCCAAACTACTTATTTCTACCATGTGAATGTTTCACCAGTTTAAAATTCGGATTCATGCTGCAAACTCTTCTCGGGTGGCAACCCATGATGTTTGAAGATGATGATGTAGTAAAACAAACATTCAATTGGGTCAAAAGCACCAATTTTTTTTCAGTGGTTGGTTGGTGGGATATGCTACATCACCCCGGTCATCATTGATTTCCGCCACATTCCGCCACATTCCCTCTCTGATCCCCACACTCAGCATTGATATCATTCATCTCTAATGCTCAAATGCCTTCATGTTGCTTACCCTCTGGTGAACTAACATAGCAATGGAAAATCACCATGCTATTAATGGGAAAATCCACTATTTCAATGGCCATTTTCCATTGCTATGTTAGTTATTGTTAGTTCACCAGAGGGTATGTCGGATTCATGTTCTGGTTCTGACCGCAAGAATCATCATGACAAAATTGTAAATCGCCCAGGATTCTGGTGTTGCGATATGGTGAGTCGCCACATGATGAGTGATGATATCACAATGGTGAATATCTGTAAATATACATGTGTTATCATGTGTTCATTATTGTCGAAATCATGATGTTTCCTCAAATAATGGTGAAAACTAAACATGTGGTGGCTAAAACCTTGATTTTTATGGGGCAACTACCCAAATTCCACCGGTTGAAACCTATCTTTCTGGAACACTTCTGCCAAGCCAACAGCCAGCCTCTGCATTCGATCCCTGGGAAGCCTGCAGTGCCTGCAAATCAGCATCTTAGAAAATCATGCATATGTTTTAATGAATGTTTTAATGTTTTATGTGTCTGCAAAAAAACGTTGAACATGTGCAAATTTTGCCCAATCTTGCCAAGTTTTCCCCCGAACAAAACAGGGAGTTCCAAACCCCGGATCCCGTGGATCTGGTGCTTCATTCCCGCAGCCTGGCCTTATAAAGTTCCATAATTCGTTGATCAGACAACTGGGACACCTGGCAAGGGAAGAAGACTTGGGATGCGAGAGATGATGGTTCTTACGTATCCAAAAAAATCCAAAAACATGTTACTGCTAGCAATACATAGCAATACTATATCATCAAAGGTTGATACCCAATGTACATTAGCCATTTGATGCAATTTGATTGTCTGACCCCGGTAATCTCAGATTATCTCAGAGGATCCCTCGATTTCAGCCACGTGAAAACTGGAAGGCTAACTGGACCCACGACTTGCGGCTGGTGGCTTAGTGGCACTGGGTTCAGTCCCCTGGGAGTAAAAAAACACGTAAAAACACGTGCGACTCGAGATCTTAGCAGGATGTCACTGTTCAACGTCTTTATTTTGGGACTATAAATAAGTCCAAGATGGTAGAATATAACGACTACAGTATGCTTGCTGACAAACAAACAGTTAATTGATGTTAATTCCCCCTATCCCATCTCATGTTGGTTGATAGGTATCTCTGTTATGGGTTATAATTATAATGAGTATAACTATAATGATATACTAATATGAGTATAATTATAATATCCCAATATATAGTATCATTATAACTATAGTATATAATTCCCCCTATCCAGCTATCTCCTATAATGATCCCCAATAAGCCCAGTAGTATAACTCCCTAGAAGAACTACTCAGCCAAGATATTTTTCAAAAAAGGATCATTTCCATTGCCCAAAACCGCCCATCTACGATAACATCCCAGTTTTAGAGAGGGTAGATACTATATTTATAAAATTCCCCACCTGCCAGGTGAGGGTTGTTAGATTTTATGTCAGTTGCCTGGTCCTCCTCGTCCTCCTCGTCCTCCTCCTCCTCCTCTCGTTGTCCTCCTCGTCCTCCTGCTCAACTGCGACTCGCGATCCACAGTGTTCTCTGTCGGACCTCCACCACGACCATCCACGCCCAGTGTTCCCTGCCGGACCTCAACCACGACCAGCCACGCCCAGTGTTCCCTGCCGGACCTCAACCACGACCATCCACGCCCAGTGTTCCCTGCCGGACCTCAACCGCGAGAATCCACGCCAAGTGTTCCCTGCCGGACCTCATGTAGGAAGATAAAATGTCAGATAGAGTGCCAGAAGATTTGCCAGGTAGAATGCCAGAAAATATGCCAGAAAATATGCCAGATAGATATGCCAGAAGCCAGAAGATATGTCAGAATATATGCCAGATAGAATGCCAGATAGAATGCCAGAAGATATGTCAGAATATATGCCAGAAGATATGCCAGATAGAATGCCAGATAGAATGCCAGAAGATATGTCAGATAGAATGCCAGAAGATATGCCAGATAGAATGCCAGAAGATTTGCCAGATAGAATGCCAAATAGAATGTCAGAAGATATGTCAGATAGAATGCCAGAAGATATGCCAGAAGATATGCCAGATAGAATGCCAAATAGAATGTCAAAAGATATGTCAGATAGAATGCCAGATAGAATGTCAGAAGATATGTCAGATAGAATGCCAGAAGATATGCCAGAAGATATGCCAGATAGAATGCCAAATAGAATGTCAGAAGATATGTCAGATAGAATGCCAGAAGATATGCTAGAAGATATGCCAGATAGAATGTCAAATAGAATGTCAGAAGATATGTCAGATAGAATGCCAGAAGATGTGCCAGTAAGAACATGTAAAAATGTCATGGTGGGGATCACACGAAGTAAAGTAATTTTATAAATATCTCAACCCCCTGTCTCATATTATGTCATATGTATTCCTATGTATCCCTGCAAGAAAACAAATCAGGTGAACTTAAAAAAAAAAAAACATCTCCTCCCATTCTCGAAAGCACCGGGGTGATGCGACGCACGGCAGCTCGCACCTGCCAGGCTCCAGAACCCTTCCGTTTATTACGGCACTGCAGAGAGAGCCTCTGCCAGGCGACAATCTTCGAGCGAAGACGTCAGAGGGTTTTGGTGAAGATTCTTCGGGCATATGCATGCATTTTAGACATATATTCAATATTATAGCATATAGTCATATAATGTCATATAGTAAATATTTGATGATGTATATGTGATACCAGAACTGCTTATACATCTTTGTTCATTTAGAATCATTAAAAATTGCGGTCGTGACCATATAAATTCAGCTCTAGGAATCAACCAAGCAGGACGAGGTCTTCGCCCGCCGTTGTCCACAGGTCTGCCGGGTTACCTCCCAAGATGTCCCCAGGTTTTTTATTCCAATATGGTGAAGAAGGTCACAACATGTCAAAACCCAAATAAAGCCTATCTTGCACCCCTCACAGATCCAAAATTGCTATAACTGGATGTTGATTCCCCCAATATGACATTTTGCATGGTTTTGCCATGGCTTTGGACTCATAAACCCACATGGCGGCTATCGCGCCCTGAGATCCCGGGCCCGTGACAAAAATCGCAAAGCCATGACTTCTTGCACGCCCTCGGGACGGCGAATCGGGGAATGTCAATGGCTCAATGGGAATCATCGATCATCCCATGGATCGACGTCGATAAACTGAAGAATTTTCTGCCAAAATAAACGTTCCAGGGAACCTGGAAATGCCTCTGGTAGCCTCTGGTAGCCTCTGGTAGCCTCTGGTAGCCTCTGGTAGCCTCTAATCATGGCAATGGAAAATTCAGTATAGTTCCAACACTGGTTTATTTTCCTCTCAAGAAGCTGGATCTGTCCATCACTATGTTTGATTTCCACAAATCTTAATTGTTATGCAGCTGTTTAACATCGCTATGGGAAACGAAACGGCCCATTTATGCATTATAAACATGATGATTTACCTCTTGTAAAATTTATGATTTTCCAGTTCGCAAACCCGTAAATAATACAGGTTAAGTATCCATTGGCTGCCTTTCCAGGCACCCACACCGCGCGCTTCCGCTGAAGGAGCAGACCTGCTTTCAAGACCAGACTCACTGTGATGTGAAAAAAATAAAGTTGCATTTGCAACCCCAGAATTTCAGAATGACATAATATTAGAACTAGAAAAGGTGCAGAAATCTTGATGTTTCATGTTGTTTCTGTATCTTAGTCAGCTCACAAATCCTGCCTGGCACAAGATGGTGCAGTTCTCGCCCAGGTGTAGCGCGGTTCCAAAGGAACGAGGTTGGCCTCCTTCCCTCGGAACGTCGTTAAAGGTCGCGCAGGCTTCATGGGATGTTCATGGGATTTATAGACGTATATTACATAGTACAATATTATATATATATATATACATACATAATATAATATTATATATATGCATATGTATATATATACATATGTATATATATATGGGCCACGGTCAATATTTGGTATATAGCTCCAAGTCATCAATTTTTGAAGAGCGTATTATCGTTTTACAGGTTTTGGTATATAAGCACATGTTATCGTTTTTTGAAGAGTGTTTGTCATCGTTTTCCAAGCCCCAGCTCAATTTCCATGTTTTTTTAGATATCTCGAATACTACTCTCCCTTAACCTAAATTTTGGCTGTAGCTCATGGTTTCTTCCATGAGATTGGCCATGGGATTTTCATCGGATCTATATAGTTGGATTTCATGGCATTTTCATGGGATTTTCATGGGATCCGGATCCAATGCTTTCAGTGGGATGTGGATCAAAGCCACTTTGCGAATGGGAGATGAACTAGAAAAAACATGAAAAAACTGGGATACGATCGATTTTGTAGGGGATCTTCTGGATTTTTTCTTTGATTACCATACGAGAGTTGGGTGTGTCTGAAAACGATCTTCATAGGGATTCAGAGACAGCCATGTATTAAATCGGTGATTGGAGGCAAAAATTGATCACAGCATCCTTCACATCCAAGGCACTCGAACAGCACCTTTTCCAGCTGATCTCCAGCTCTGGAGGGCACCCAGAAATAAAAGGGTTTAAACAATGTCATAAACCACCTATGACTGGGAATGGTTTATATCTACCACCTATGAAAATGGTGAATTTGGGGGTGGTGCAAATGGCATTGTTTTACCCACAGGTAATCATTCACATATAGATGTGGGTGCAAAATCCTGCACAAAATCTTGGATTTCGGTTTTTCGGAACCCCAAAATTAACCCAAAATCGTTGGTAACTGAGAAAATGGAACCGATTTTTACACCCTGCTGGTTTTCTCCAAATGGGATCAGTTGCGCGCCCTGCTATTTTTGTCCCAGTGGCGACAATCGTGCCAGGATCCTGAGGCGGATAGGGATAGGGATGGGTCACCTTCCATGATCATTGCTCCATAGTTGTGATATGTTGTGATCGTTGGACTCTGGGATTTTGTCTCAGATTTACAGAGATTTGGAGTTGGTGGTTTTAACCATCTTGAAGAATATGAGTCAATGGGTAGGATGACATCCCATATATTATGGAAAATAAAAAAATGTTTGAAACCACCAACCAGTTCATCGCATATGGCCAAAAATCCCATCGGGAGGATGTAAAATGAGGCTTGGATAAAGTGAGGGACTTCGGGATTCCCCAGCCAGTGTTTTCCGGAGAGACGTCTGACCCAACGACGCAGCACAGCATTATATAACATTATATAGCAACAAGTTGGGAATCCTTCTATTTCCTCAATACACCTAAAAAATTCCCTTGTGGTGAAAAAAATCAGGTCAATCCATGTTCATGTATTATTATTATATGTAAAATTATAATCCATGTTCATGTATTATGTAAAATTGTCATATATATATAATCCTTCTTCACTTACAGTAATCAAAAATCATCCAGACTGGTGCAGCTTAAAGTTCGAGACGTGTGGGAGGCTCAATCCCCCTCTTGCTTTAAGAGTACCGCTGGGGTCGGCACTGGCAATCACTGAGTGCGACCATTCTGCGGCCACTGATGGGGCCTGGAGGAGGCCAGGCTACAAATCGAGATGTGACTATGACTAACCCCCCCTATATCATATTCAACACCCCCCCAAAAGCCCTAGAGTATATTTCTTGATTTATCGCCAAAGATTAGCTTGTATATAAACATATATAAACTATCCATCCAGTCCGCTTTCCCAGAATCATGAAAAAACGAATCAAATCTCCCACTATATCCGCATGATATCCCCATGTTGGTTCAATTCCTGACTTTCCTGCACCATCTAAAACCTGACAATGTTACGGGTATCCCCAAATCGCCATGTGGAGGTACCTCATGTTCAGACCCAACTCTCATTGGTTGATCAACGAAAAATCCCCAAAAAATAACATATCCCAATTTCGTATCCCATCATTTTTCCCACGAAAAATCTCCTATTTACATCCATTTATAGTGGCTTCGAGTTATACACGGGCTCCATGGCTCGTTCAAACCTTTCCGCACCTTGCATGGCTCTGGTCTGGAACCCTTCCGTCGCTGTCGGCAGACCTGCTCGGGGTGCCACCAGAATATTTTTTTCCGGCACAGAGTCAGGAAAAAAAATCCTGCCAGCACGAACCCGGTTGTGGAGTTAGGATCTAATCAAAAATAAAAAATCACAACTTGGTGTTTGAAAGCAACAATAAATATCAAAAAAACAAAATGTTTGTGATTTAGGAGGGTTATATACATATATGTTATACGTATATATAAATTAACAAAGATGGGTGATTTGACCGGCATGGATTTGATTCAAGCAACAGAAAGGGCTTGTTAGGCCAACAGTCAACAGCGGATCTGAGACTCTGAGAGGATCTGACAAGTGAAAATGTATACATAATGATACAATAAATATCATTTACTATATAATTACGTACATATATATAATATTATATATGTATTGTATACGCATATCATTCAAATATATAAGAATGAAGATCAAGTGATGAAAAATATAATTCAAGCAACAAACGTGTCGTGAGTTTGAGGGATATGGGCCTATCAAATCCAAGAAAAAACAATGGATTATGATCAGAGTCCCTTATAAATATATTTGCAAAAGCTAACTTCACATACCCTCTGGTAAACTAACATAACTATGGAAAATCACCATGTTTAATGGGGAAAACTCACTATTTCTATGGCCATTTTCAATAGCTTTTTCTATGTTTACCAGAGGGTAGCTATGGACAAAAATCCACCATTTCGCTTGACCGGTCAAAGCGAAAGCTTCAAATCGCCTCCCGGGCCTTCCACCAGTTCTCGGTACTGATCGGTCATAATCTGCCGCACAGCCTCTGGCGCAGAGCGTTGAAGTCTAAAAACATTACAGGAATCAATAAATGGTATGTATATATATATATATATATCAATAAATACCATGGATATTCATTCAAATTATCTAGAATGAAATATAATGTAGTACAACACATCATGCCATAGTCTTACATCATAATATATCATAATTATCATGTATACGTATACATATATTATTATTATTATATTATTATTATTGTTACCTCACATTATTACTGTAAAGGTAGCCTATATATATATTATGTATACGTAGTCAAGCTTGGATTTCTATCGTCATTCATGGGGATCTCACCCGAAAGGTGACAACGATTGCCTCATGCCGATCCAGGTCAGCTCATAAAGTCACCTGAAAAAAAAAAATAAACCATAGATTCCCCAGAAAGAAGCCATGAAGGGAACAATAGATTCAGAATAATTACTCAGAATCATCTGAAATCATCTGAAAATTAATTTGTTAATGAACTATCATGTTCACAAGCAAGTAGAATATATGGTTCTTTTTTGTTACAAAAAAATGTTTGTTTTCCTGTAAGGAGCACCCAAGAAGAACTAGGCAACAACTTTGGGGTATAGCCTCTGGTAATTTGTGTAATTAACAGTTTGCTATGGTATAGACTATAGACATCTATAAACAGACCATAGACAGTCCATTTCGTTGGCGGATTTATCACATGTCTTTCCATGATATGAAGTGTTGAAGGATTCAATCATGGGGTGCCAGCCATTTTCAATGGGAGGCAGTTTGCTGAGTTAATCTAAACAAATTGTTGATGGGTGTCCGCTACTAATCATAACCCCCAATAAATTAGATAGTATAACTCCCTATACTAACCAATCAACCAGGCTATCTTTAATGGCTCAATTGATTTGACTTGATACATCCTGATACTGGATAATTTGTGAAAATTGTTGTTTCCTCGCAATTAACATATATTAACTTCATTTAAGTAATCATTTTGCTGGGTAAATTATGATATTTCACTACCCTGAAATCATGTCATTTTGGGATTTGTTCCCCTATGAAAACCATGATTCCAGTGAGACGATACAGTGAGGTCGTTACAATTTACCCAGATAGATATACTATAGATAACCATAGATATACCATAGATATACTATAGATATACTATAGATATACCCAGATTTTGGGATAGTTACCCCTTAACCCTCAACGTTTTGCTGACTTCATCTCCTCGGTCTGCCCGCCCGATTCTGCCCCGGTCGCGGGTGCCCCGGACTGAAGAAGGATTGGGTCCAACAACGACATTCACATCCTGGAAGCCAAGAGCCACCATGGATGATCTACCAACCCAGTAAAAATATATCAAAAATGATAGCCTAAAAGACCCTGGATCGTTGCGAAATCCTGCACCAGTTCATGATTTTCATGGTTTCTCCCTTTATTTATAGGGTTTCAACGGTTTCAACATGTTGAAAGACCATCCTTTTGGTGGTGCAGGATTTCGCAACCATCCACAGTAGTGATGTTCCAGTTCACAGTACAGATTGACCCGTCTCGGCAGGCCCCTTGGGGACTTCCTGATGGATGACATGCTGGTGGAAATCAGTGTATGATGGTTGAAAAAAAACATTAGATACACAACTGGGATGAAATTGAATGATGATTAGCAAGCCATCAGCTGTAACATGTTTTAAGTAGCATCATTTATATATATATATAATAGGGATGTTGAAATTTGACAGATGATTCATGTAGGCTGCACACCCTTGGAGGATGATCTACCTTTTTTGCCGCCAAAAGGAAATCCGTGATTTTCCCGTTTGGACATGATCCACACATGGTGGATTTTCCATAGCTATGTTGGTTTACCGGCTGGTATCTCCTGAACACAAGGTGAGATGCTTTGTTGCTTGCCTCAATTTTCCCTACGCAGCCTGTCTGCAATCTACGAGACTACATGAGACTAGACTATATGAGAAGTGTTGAGAAACCACCATTGTCCTAGTGCTATCATGTGGCAAACACATTAATCAACACAATAATCAACCACCACAACTGTCCTAAACAAAGGCTGATACCCCAACTGGAAGTTGTTTCTTCGGTTTACCACGCTCATCAGTATGTGCCATGGGCGTGGTGTTGACCGTCGCTTTTGAGAATCGACAAAACGGGCTTGAAAATGAGGTATGCCTCTTTTTTTACAGGGCGAGTTTGAGAAGGAAAACATATGAAAAACGCCTCTGGTAAAATGTCAGAGAGCTATGGCAGCTATGGAAAACGGCCAACTTTAATCAACCAACATGATCATTCACAGCTAACTCTCCATGGCCGGAGCAATCCGTCAAGATCATCCCATTAGTCGTTTCTCAAATTTTCAGTCGGCTCTGGGTGAAAAAAAAAAACGCAAAAAACATGGGGATTGAAACATTTGAAACCACAAAATTGGGTGAATTGATGAGTTGGTACCCAAAAAGTTGGGTGAATTGGTACCTCACATTCGGTCACCGTAGCTGCATTGAGATCATTGCTACATGGAAAATCCGTGGTGAAATCCAGGCGCCTCAAGCTGATCCTCACTCGCCTCATTCCATGTGGGTCGGAAACCAGGAATGGATAGCTCAAGGACCCCAGCCCCTGCGGCCCCTGAGAACTTCCGAGAAGCAATGTTTTCTGTTGGCAAAATGTATACTACAATGGCATGTCTACTATATTGTCATTGATAGTTGTACCCTCTGGTGAACTAACATAGCAATGGAAAATCACCATTTTTCATGGGAAAATCCACTATAAATGGCCATTTTCCATTGCTATGTTAGTTCACCAGAGGGTAACAGTACAATCATGTGTCATATGGATCCGAGTAGCTTCTGAAGTGATGTGGCGATCATATAAATCTAGGAGGTCAAGGACCATCTATAGGGTTATCATATTTGGAATCCACTGGGGATATCATATATGATTATAATCGTATTATAATCCATATATTCTAAGGTTATAAATTTATAATCATGAATGATAGCATATCTTCATATATTGTCACAACCATCACAACCATGGTTGGCCTCATGCAAACATCCCGCGCCCATTTATACCATGTGCTGCAACTCAGCTCCCAACACTTTCATCGTCCGAAAGGTCCGAATGATCGGCCCTGCGGATTTCGATTTCGCCATGACCAACCCTCATTCAAAAAAACAATAATGGTTTCCGTAAATGGGGGTACCCCCAAATCATCCATTTTAGATTGGGATTTTCCATGAAATCACCATCCAGCTATTGATGCTATTGGGGATCCTTCATTTATGGAAACCCCCAAATGGTGGCTGCCACCTTGGCGCTGGAAAATCTCACCGTATTGCATCCCTTCCATTGGTGTCTCAAAATGGGAGATGATGCCCCCGAAAAACCAATTTGATAGATTTTGATAGGGAACATGATGATAAACCATATTGTCTCAGACACACCCCAGGTAGTTCAAAAATCAAATGTTTCGTTTTTCCTTTTCGGCCTTACCAAAAGGAAGTGGTGTGGTCGCCAAACCAGTTCAACCATCAACGGATTGACCGCCACTATCAACGGGTGATCCTCTCGCGGATCCTCGAAGGGTTTCTTCACCAAGGTTTGCCCAGACACCATGGCGGTTTTTACACGAATCTCCCATGTCCAATTGATGACAAAATAGATGATGGGACACCACTTCCATTGACCAACGAGTACATGTGTTTCTTTGGGATGGGGCATCCATTGTTTATAGATGGGACACACTTCCACACCACTTATAGATGATCTATAGATGGTGGGGCATACCATCACTGTTTCGGTGGTCTCTGTTGATCTTGGATGCCCATCTTTGGTGATCTCAGCCGTCCTTCGTTTTCTCCACCAAAGTGACGTGGATGTGGTCGCAGACATCGACCTAATTTTTGGCCGTGTAGGCCGCCTCCCAAAAAAAAACCGTCCGGCAGACCCCGTTGACCATTTATCACCATGAACTATTTCAGGTGTTCATTCTATCTTTTAAAACTATTTCAGGTGTACATTCAGGTGAACTATTTCAGGTGGTGCACTTAAAAAAATCATCTATTAAAAAACTCTCCAAGATGTCCCCAACCACTAGCTGTGCAACCTGAGATTTGGAAATCGGATTTGGAAATCCCCTGGATTGCACCAGGAAAGCACCAGGAAAGAGCCGGTTGAACCACCGGTAAAAAAAACAGTGTAAGTTTCTATATATATATGTATATATTTACAGAAATATATCATTCTTAATATCTGTGTACCACCAGATGTTTATCACAAACCACCAGAAACCTTCGGTGGTTTCAACCGTGGCAGGTTACTCCAACTTCTGTGATTGACCGTAAAAGTAGTCTTTTTATAGTCTATAATATACCAATGATATACCAACATTCATATTTGTTTCAGCATTCATACATGAAAAACTAATATGGTCATATCTATATATATATGTGTGTATATATATATGTATGAAGTAAATATAATATATATATATACATATGATTATTATATGTATATCAGATAGCACTCATACTAAGACACCTCTATAATTTCATATGAAATCATAGGACTATAAACACCTGGCTCGAGCGCAAATGCAGCGGACAAACCGGGCCCCAGTTTGTGAAAGTCTCACCATGCCCTTTGTTTCCGGTATTGAACATAGAAATCCATAGAAAATAATAGAAATACATTAATAAAACCACTAAGCTTGAGTTAAGGTAGGTCAACACTTTCATGGAATCTCCTTTGAGCCTCAATCATAGGACCTAAACATGACGTCAAAACTTGTCTCTCTGCTGCTTTTCAACGCCTATTCTTCAACTGGGATGGATCATCATCCCAGCTGGGATTGGTGTATCTGGACAAATTCTAATGATTCACGAACCTGAAATAAGGCTCACAATGTTGGCCTGAAAATGATAGCTATTTTGGGAAAGTTCCGTCCTACTACCCATCATTCCTGTGGATTCCAGTTGGCCTCTCCATGAGCTTGTATGCTTATGGGTCAAAACAGAGAAGAAATGCTGACACCAAAAGAGTGGAAAAACATGGATGCGAATCCCCCAAAAAAATGGATACATCTTGTAGAATGATACAGGTGTTGCTCGTGTTTGATCCATCTCCATCTAGACGACTTTGATACAAGGCTTGGGGACAGATCAGCCAGCTGGGACCCACTACAATGAAGGGAATGATCTCCAAATGGTGTCTGAAAATGAACCGCAAAAGCAAAGGTTAATCATAATTTTCCAGTATATCATGTTCCCATTTTCCCCACTTTTTGGGGCCATCACTTGGTGTTACTTCATATTTTTGGCACCTCCCGGAAGCGGGTTGAAAAAACTTAGGCCGCTGGCTGCCAACTTTGTCGATGGGTACATTTGGCTTGTCGGTTGTAAGTATTGGAACCAAATTGGAATTGATGGATAGCAAAACCAAGGACTGTCCAGCTGTTAACTAGCTGACATTGCCGATCCTGAATATTTCAGCAGGCGTCCACTCTTTCACTTTGGGATAGATTAAAAAAGAATCCGTACCTAAGAAATATCAAAAAAAAGAAAACAACAAGAAATCAGTATTATATAAGATTCTTAAGATGTAATTAAGTACAGTAGGGATCCAAACCATTGCACCCTGCTGTTCACACCCTTCCCCTTGGGATCCCTTGGGCCCCCCGGCAGGCTGAGAACTCTGAATATCGAGAAACCGCTTATAAATGGTAGTCGTCCCGCGGTGGCGCAGAATCAACAGAGTCGAAAAACAGAAAATCTGTAACTATTGTAACTGCAACTGAGACTTGGGAAGCCTGTGCTTCATCATTTACTAATTATTTATATAAAATATTCCAAGATCAACAAAACATGATGCTGCATAGTTGGATGGCTAAAGTGGCTAAAAAAAGTGGCTACCAAGGCTGGGTTTTCCATACTAGCCTTGTCAGAAAAAACTCAGACCATCATATGATATATGATGATATATCTGGGTAAATTATAATATTTCACTAACCTGAATTAAGGCCATTTGGGGATGATTCCCCTTACTAACCATGATTCCAGTGAGGTCGCAGTGAGGTCGCTATAATTTACCCAGATATATGATATAACACAACAATTTGTTTCAAATGTTGGATATCTGATGGTAAGCCAACATGGACAAAATGACTTGAGGTGCTGTGAAGCCAACTGTGGTCGCGACGAAGGGTCAATGAAGCCAACCAAGTCAAGTGCATCCGAAGTAAACAATAAATACATTCAGATCATAATGATAATTTAAAACAGCAAATAATGTGAATTATTATTATTAATGTCTATAATTATGTATATATGATTATATATGTCTATTTGCTTACATACACATCCTTAAATAAAATAGAATCAAACGGATTGATCATGACCCGGTCCCCAGTTGGACCCACGAAAATCTCCACATCAGCTGCTGGGGAGTCTAACAACTACGGATTTTAAATGTTAACCAATGATCCTTTACAAACGCTGCAGATTTCATCAACAAAACCTGGGTGTTTTTGAAGCAACAATCCATGGCCATGGAAAAATGGACCGAAAATTTCAGTGGTGACTTTCAGATCGTGAACATTCGTGAACTCCATTTTTTCATGTCGCCATTTTGGGTTAAATCCTTATGAATCACCATACCAGGGAGGTTCCTAATCCATGGGAATCCCAAATGGATGATAACTGGGGGTACCCCCAAAAACGAGAACCTCCTCCATATGGGGATGGGTCAAAACCCTGGTACCGTGCCGTGAACCCCAAGTCATAGCTGGGTTAAAATGGATGTGAATAACCCACTAAAAATGGTATCAATAGGTATTGATCCATACCCATATGAATTCTTCTGATTCCTAGGCATCTCGAGACATCGAGAGAGGCATCTCGAGGCATCTCCCAAGTTTCGCCTCCAAAAAAGGGGGAAAAATACTGGGACTATGTGCAGTGATCAACTTCATCTGTATGGTGGCAAATCTCTTGATTTGAATCTGGAGTTGGTCGAACCTCCCCGCGTCTTTCACGAAGTTCACGTTTTTGTTGCCGGAAAACTCCCAATATTTGGGTTTGCTGGCAAAACTAGGGCAATTCATCCACTGGTTGACTATTCCCTATGAAATACCTATGAAATATCCATAGATTGGTGTGACCGGCACCAAGATACGGCCATCGAATCAGGCAGCATGCGCCTGGTGGGTCAAGCTGATTGATGATTTGTAATTGTATGTACTTGTTATGTATCTGTATGTTCCGGTGTACTTAGATGCATTTATTTAGATCTATCTTGATGTACTTAGATGTATTTCGTTGTAGTTCGATATATCATGATATATCTAGATGTATTGAGATGGATTCGATTTATATTCCTGATCTGCAGAATAGTGGACTGGGTTTTTATCACCCAACGTCACACGTCGTATTGTTTGATTGACTGTTGAAATAGGGCTATCCTGGTGCTTTGCTGGTCCAATGATAAAGTCTGACTGTGATTCGGTTTCAATGGGATAAATGTTGCGTAGCCAGTCCATGAATCCAAGAGCATGGCTACAATCCATCCAGTTTGTTCTGAACTTCAGAATGGTGGCATTCAATGTAAACAGTCACACTCTGACACATCTGGTCCTGTTAGTGATAGTGAATCGTGATTTTGATGATGACGATGATGATGATGATGATGATGATGGTGATGGTGATGATGATGGTGATGAATTACAAACGACAAAGTATGAACAAACCAATAGCCTAAGCCCTAGAACGTATTCAGGCGTGTGACAGAAATAATATTCACGTATCATCGCCTTCATACTATTTCATTGAAGCAGCAAGAACTCTCTTGGAACACGTCATTCCAACTTCCAACAAAACAACCAAAACAACTAGCACTGGGGTCTGGCCGGTAATCCTTCGCAAAGGCCAACCCTTCAATGCAAGTCAAAATAGATTCGTCATCCCAGCTGCTGCAAGCATCCCCTTCCCCCAAAACTTCGTTAACTTGCATCGAAGTTCGCTAGTTTCATCCATCTCCAACCCTGTTCCAAGCATTCATCCAGGCAAGAAGCTCAACCACCGTCAGGCCGGTCTGAAAGGATCCTCCGCCGCGGAAGCCGTAGCCCCAGCTGTAGACACGGAGCTGTTTCAGCGGCCCCAACTTTCCTGGTCAGGATCCATAGAATCCATGGTGATGAAACAGGTAGGAGCTCTTAGGAACTGGCTTGGATACTGTTCCTTTAGTGGCCAAGGTTCTGTAGGGGGGTGATGAAACAGGGCCCCATATCATGAACTGGGATCATGCATAGATGTTCCCCGGCTTTTTTCTTGGTTCCCAAAAGCCTTCCCACACGGCAACAGTGATCGAATTAATGGGATCTTTATGGGATCTTAATGGGATATTAATGGGATCTTAATGGGATCTTTATGGGATATTAATGGGATATTAATGGATATTAATGGGATCTTAATGGATGTTAGTGTCAAACTATATTAATCTAACTGGTACTTCTTGTACTTCTTAGGAAGGCGAACAATTCTCTGCTTCCTGTGTCAGCTGGTTCAATTGAATGGCAGCTAAACATCATGCGGTAACTCCAATGATAAACCCCAAGTTTGGTGAGGGTTATCAACACTCCCAAATTGTAAAGAACATCCATGTGCAAGTGATTCTGTATGTTGATTCCTGGGTTTACAACATGTTTCCTGAGCCAATGTTTCTAGAATTCACCAATCAGAAGCCACTTTTTGGATGGAGGATCATCCCAGAAGTCGAAAATTCGTCAAAGCCCTGGTGAAAAAAGTCCCCTCAAGTTGTCCCATATGCGGGCATGCATAACAATCATTTGGGGAGATGATCCAAGTCCCACAATGTCTAGTACTACATCAATTCTAGCAAAACTACAACTATACTATAACTATGATACTTGGGACACTCACCTACTTACCATCACTATACCCATCATAATTGCTATAATTGTAATTGCTATAACTATAGTAAAGCTATCATTTTCATGATTACTATAATAAAAGTATAGTTTTGGTGATCTTAGAATTGTCATAACTCTATATTGTCAAAAACTATAGATAATACAATAGTGTTTTTTTGTATAGAAACATTAACTATAACTACCATAACTACTATAACATCAATGATCATTATAATTGCCATAATTGTAGTATAACTATCATCATCAAATATCATACAGTAATATCTATAAGTCTAATTAGCGTAAGTATATCATTACTATAATTCCAACTACTAGAACGGTAATATAGTATTATAGCTGAGCTATTCTATATAATTATCACAATAACTATATTTTTTCCCCAGCCGCACCGTGCTCCGACAACATTGTCAAACTCAGCATGGCGTTGGCGTAGCCAAGCGTGTGCGTATAATTTAAAGGAGTTAAATATTATGAACTAAAAGCTATAACTATCATAAATGCTTAATTACTAGTATTATACTATCAATTATCAAAACAAAAAAACGTAATCATAACAATAAATAACTATTACTCTGACTATTACTATGACTATGGCTATACCGTTACAACGTTCAGAAAAAAAAAACCTGGGTCTCCGCACGGGCCAGTAAATAGGCGGCCAGATCCTCGGGCACGCACATGGCGCCCGCGAACTGGATCAAGCGCAAGCCTACGCCGAAAAAGGCGAAAATCGGCCAGTGATGATGATCTAACTGGATTGGTTTTGTTGGGAAAATCTTAACCGGAAACCATGGTGTTTACCATGGTGTTTACCATGAAATATAGGGTTTTCCCGGTTTTCACGGGAAAATCTTAACCGGAAAGCCATGGGTTTTTACCAAATATGACGGGCTTTCCGGTGAAAAAAAACATTCATGGGATGATCATTGAAAAATTGGACACGATTGGAGCGATTGATTCATTGATGATTGATGGTTGATTAAAAAAACATGATTGAGTGGTTATTTTGAAAAACATCATTGGATTATCATTTTTTAATCAACCATCAATCATCAATCAGTGGTTATTTTGAAAAACATCCACTGATGATTGATATTGATTGATCATTTAAAAAATGATTTGTCGCTCATATGATTATCATTGGTATGAGTATAATCATGTCAAAACCACCGTATTAAAAAAGAGGTCATTTATCTTTGAGATGATGATGGTCACACCATCTTACACCATCATAAATATGGTGAACAGCCAAAATTCGTGAAGAGATTGATCATACTTCCTGAATTGATCAGAAACATGGTGTTACATATAATTAGATGGATCAAGCCATAACTGGGTCATGTGTGTGTTTTTTTGTTAACCAGTTATAACTCAAAATTCATCAATTTTAAGGGAACATCTTCACCAGTTTCACCATCGGAAAGCATCGTTGAAAAGTCGCCTTCCGCCCAGTGAGTGACCCCAAAAAATCCGTCGATGAGTTGGTTGCCGTAGCTTGCCATGGCGAGATCATACAACTGGACACAACTAGATGATATAACTGGATATAACTAGTATGTATGATATAGATGATATCTAGTGATATGTATATAATATGTATACGTATAATATATAACTAGATGATATCTGGATATAACTGGATAATCTACATATCACAAGCATCCATGTGTATATGATCAAAAGATGGCAAAATAAAATGTATACACAAAATGTTCATCTAACATGTTTCAAAGAACTGGATATACATTTCATATCATATATCATCATGTTACAGGGATATGCTCAATGATAGTGGAGATCAGTGGTTATGCTTGTAACCCACTGGTGACCAACCTTGGTAACCCTGGTTCCTCAACTCTCCAACTCGCTGAAGGTTACCCCAGATCCTCCAGTTTATCATAAACTTCGCCCCATTAAAAAGAAACATAATTTGAAATCTATATTATACAAGTAAATGCATTATATTATATTATAGTTATATTTATTATTTATATTATTTGTTATAAATTGCCAATTGAAACATAATTGGCCTATATTATAGTTATACAGTATTTATTATTTATCAGTATCAATTGCCATAAGTCTGATTACTATAAGAATGAGGAAAGACGACGAGCTAGACCGGTCCCCCTGGATCGAAGAAATGTCTCCTGCGGGACGACGATCCACCACAAAACCACTTAGTGAAATCTTCAGACTGATAGTAGCACCAACTAACATAAACCATCAGATTTAGATGAACCATATGGTTCATGATGGTTTATGATGTTTTATGTTTGGGATTCCATAAACCATCATAAACCAAACTGTTTGGGATTCCATATGCTTCATGAATGTTCATGATGGTTTATGTTTGGGATTTCAGATGGAATTGCAGAACCAACTTCATCTATCCGATGTTTGAGATTTCCTCTAAACTTCCGTCCCTCTTCTCCAAGCAAGGGCAAACTGGCCACCGTGAGCCACCCTGCGTGTGCCGCGCCTTTTTCCTTGGCTGCTTTGTGGTACTTCTGGATGAGGAAATGGCCAAAATTCACCTGGTACAATCCTCATGCGACTCCAAACGTATGTCACTTTGGATTATCTAGTAGAAATGCAAAAAACACATATAAAATCATATAAATACATGCAAATAGCTATGGGAAAATGGCGATCTCTGAAATTTCTGATGCCTGTTCTGCTCTCGAAAAATCTCACCACAAACACCATGGGAGGTTTGGCTCGCAGAGGTCAGCAGCACCGCCTCACCGGTGATGTCAATGTAGTGCGTGCCGCTTCCAACCTGAGGTCTACATGTGGAAGGCCCAGTAATGCCAGTCTTGAAAAAAAGGACTGATTTGTTGATCGCGAGATTCGAATAGATCTGACGTCAGAAACTCTTGGGGGGAAATGTTCAGATCTTTGGCATGATGCGAGATGCCTTGCTGGAAATTCCCTAACTTTAGCTGATGTTTTTTCCCATTGATAAAAGCGTCCATTTTCGATGGGGAAAAATGCCAGTTCCATGTATAGTGGAATTTCCCATATAAAAACCCATCAAGTTCCGTTAAAAGTGAAATTTCCCATATAAAAATCCTCAATGTTTGATAGTGAAACATGTTTGGAATTTCCCAGCTAGCCATGTTTGATGACACCGAAGCTGAACGTCCCCTGCTTCCACTCCCGCCATGTCGCGCACAGCGACGCGTGGCTGAGTGCCCGGCGCAGGCCTTGACGACTTGCTCCCCACAATCCAGGTATGGCCCTGTCAGGAGGCAGCTGAAACTCGTGGGATTTCAACGAAAATGTTGGGATTTCATAGGGATAGTGGGGATATAAAGAGATACCACCCATAAAAAAATGGGTTACCCTATGGTTATGGGAACACGCAATGGTTTTTTCATATCTATTGATTTACTGGTGGACAATTTTCGAAAGAATGCCCAGCCCCATGATCATGGAGGTAATAGCCCATGATTCCTCACTAAAAGGCTGAAAATTGTAGCCAACGCGCTCCGAGTTCCTGAAATTTGCTCTTTGACCCATGTGCCAACCCCATTTCTGGGGAATTCCAGCTGTTCAGTTTCGACAATGCGTTGATTTTGAGACAGCCATCCCAACTCGACAAACAACACATCAAACCATCGAAGCCATCCCAAAAGCTCCAACATCCCATTCATATCCATTCATCACATCTGTGTTTCTTCAAAAACCCTGAAATTCAATAAAATCCCCCACTTACCCACCACATCATAAGTTTACTGAATTTATCCCCATCTTTTCCACAAAATAAAAACATGTTTTCCCCCACTTATCCGTCACCAGCGCCTGCCAGCGCGATGATCACCGTGGCCTCAGCCGCCAGCTGGTTGATCTCGTCGGCGGAGGCGGCTTGGACCACCTGACCGGCTGATGGGAAGAGCCTAGGATGATGGATGGATAGTAAGGTTTATGGGTTTGTCTGAAAATAGTGTACCCCTACACCCAATGGTTAATGATCATTATCCCTACTAAATGGCTATAATTGGGGGTATACCCCATTTCCAGACATACCCTTATAGTATTAGTATAAACCATAGAAGAACTATGGTCAACTATGGTTTAAGGATGTTTAAGGTCGATATATCTGATATCTAGATATAACTACCTATCGTCAATAGTCAATGATAATCGATGGAGTTTATAATGCAACTTAAAAACTAATAGTAACCTATCAACTATTGGTAACTTGTAAAGGCCAAAATCCTAGTAATTTATTCGGTAAATTGGTAAACTACGCATTTTTTGTTCGCAGCAAATGGATGACGGATGATGATGGCTTCAAATCATAGGATTGTCCAAGCTGGACTGTCATAGGGTGTCCATCATGGGGAAGATTGGATGATAAAACGAGAAATAAAAGGATGATAATACATGGTGGGATCGGATGATGATGATCGGATGATATGATAAAATGTATGATCATACATGGTTGGGACCCTTTTTCAGAGCAATGGCTTTCAAAGACCTGCCAGTGACAGAAAATGCCGATGATGGGTTTTTCAAAGGCCAAGTATGCATGGTTTACCTATTAAAAATGGTGATTTTCCATGGCTACGTTAAATAACCAGAGGGTGAATACACCTTAATTTTCATCACCCAGAGACTTGGCACTGCTGATGCAAAAACAATCAAAAGCACGAGTTTGCTTGGATATATGTCTACGCGATTCTCCATATGTTACTATATTATACTTTACTATATTAATCTATATTACATAATCTCAGTGTCACATACTTGTATGTGCAATCTCCACGATCAGTCCCAATTCGTTTCCAGCACAGAGATCCGAAAATCGACGTTTCTTTCCAATTAAAAAAGATGTACCCAGCAAAAATTGATTTATGACATCCTTCTTTCATCTTCTTTCAAAATGCTTTTAGTTTTTGGATCCCAAGAAACCTAACAATCTGCAGCTGCGGCCCGAAGCAGCCTTGGGTCTGGTGCGACATTGGCTGGCCATTTTCTCCAGCTTCGGCAAGCTCCTGCAGATTCAGGATGATGTGCCATGGCTCACTACTGAAATTCATCGTTTACCATGGATTTACTATTGACTTTACTACTGAGAATAATTGAGAATATGCTTCTCAACTCATCTCGATAACCTTGAGTCCTGAGTCTTACTGATCTGGGTGTGGTGTTGGGGCCATGGTTTGCTACTGAAATGACCTGACTGTGACTGCAGCGGCCTAGCTTCATTTTGCGAAGCGGGTTTCTGTAGTCTGGAACTGGTTGTCTGTATGGAACTGGGTGCCAACGGGTGTCTGTATGGCACAGGGTGTACACTGTGTCAAATCCATTGTTGCCTCATGTCAGGCAGATGTTCCATCTCTCAGAACATGGGCGACCGTGATGCTCAATGTTGAAGCATTGTCAAGCAGTTCGAGCATTCTCCCTCTGTCATCTGTGCCATTGACCTCAATAATGAAATGACCAGGGTAGACACGATTCACTTCATTCATGCATTGGTTGTGCTGAGTTTCGATGGGACTCCAAGGAGCAATCCACTCAATTTGCAACGTTTCCTCGTTGACGTTGAGGCCTAGGGATTTCATGCCTCTCACCCAACGTCTTTGTCTATGCACACGGACAAAACATAAGGCAGGTGCCTCATTGAACAATCGAATCTCCTGTCTTGACAAATCGGTGATATAAAAGTACATATCATAGAAGGTAAATTCAACAGCATCATTTGCGATAAACAGCACCTTCGAGCATTCACTGCTTCCAGTCCAGGGGTCTCGAACCTTCCAATACAAATGTCCATTGGAGCGGCCCACTCCAGAAACCAAGACAGTTGCCATGTGCTGCGGCAATCGTGGTTCATTTTTAACATCCTCCCAGAGCAGCATAGACTCAGGAAATTTGGTGATGAAATCATCGAACCGCTTCCAAGCAGAAGAACCCAACGAAAAAGTGGCTATAAGATTCCTCCCTTCTGGGTGCGAGACTTCGCCGCATGCTTCAAACTCATTCAGGTGTGAAAAGTGAAAACCATATTCTCCGCAAGTTTGTTGCAAAACGGCGGCGATCTCAACGTTTCCTGTTCCCCATGCCATGACGAGGTGATCGACAATGTCATCGTGAAGTTCAACTGGACGACTGAAAATCCTTGCCTGTGTTTTCCGGATGGCGGTGGCAATTGTGTGAGCATATGAAAACTGGCGAGCACGGTCGTCAATCAGATCGTCCAATTTTGCAAGTGTGGAAATGATAACGAAGCGGATTTCCAGACTTTCAGCATTTTGCAGTTCTGAGATAAAATCATGTTTGTCTTCTTTTCCATTTACTGAAATGATCTGATATCCTGGGTGTATTCTTTTGAAAGGATTCTCTCGATTCCACTGGGCTATGCTGCAGTTGCGTCTGCGCACGCGCTCAATGCGGTTTCGGTTTCGTAATCAATTTCCCAACCCAGGGAGTTTCCATCGGATTCCTCTCTGATCTGAGAGGATGCTGTCGATGGCACCTTTGGCAACGTGGAAGTAGCCATCGTCTGCAAACTCATCACCCCAGGAGTTCTTGATGAACCAAGCATTCTGCGATTCACCTGTGATGACAACTCCATGTCCTTCGATTTTTCCAAATGCAGGTCCCCTCAAATCCTCTGCTTGCAATACAGCAGCAGGCCCAGCTTCAAAAAAACCCGAAAACCTGTTCCATTCTGCTTCATCTAGCGAAAATGCTGCTAGCACAACTCTCGAGGACACCCCCTGCAAAAGCTCCTCTGCAGTCTGTCTAGTAATCTTTTCATAGTGCAGGTTCTTCAGGGGACACAGCCATTTCAAAACTTGGCAAATGTGTGCTCCATCACAGACAAATTCCCGCGTGATCTCTCTGACTAAATGTTCATGACTCTCAACTGCCCGACCGAAAATCCGCATCTGAGCACTTCGAATGGCAGTAGCAGTTGAAAATGCATAGCAAGTGCCAGCTTCACCGTTGGGACCTCGTGGTCCGTCCTCTTGCGCATGAATTGTTGGAGACAGGCCTGTCACTGTTGAGACATCGTCTGCATTCCTCAAAGCCACGGGTCTCCACACCCTAGGCCGCGGACGACTTGCCCTCCGCATTGCTGCCCTTGGGGTGCAACTATATACGTGGCCTATTGTCGTACATTTTGGCCATTATGCTGGTCACGGATCATATCTAAGTGAGTTTGCTGATGACTTTTCCATATTTTTCCATCATGTCATAGTCCTGAGAGTCATCACTAGTCCTGCTTTTCTGCAAACCCTTCTGAACCAAGGGACTTGCACAGCTGCCAGGCAAATCAGCCCAGGCAGCAACCCTGCATCACCACTACTAGATCTGGATTTGTCAATGGAGGATTACTTAGATGGGCCCTGGGATTCGTTATATAAGTAGTTAGTGCAACTGGATTATAATCCATTATTTGGTCTGTTATAAATCAATTACTAACCAGCAACTAATCCCAGGGCCCATCTATATAATGCTCCCCATATATAATGCTCCCCATTTTAGAGCCATAATCAAATGCAGTAAACATGATTTCCTATGTTTCTACCCCATCAAACATGTGGAAAGTTCGCCTACATCTTCGGACTTCAACTCATCTGTACAGTCTATAGTCTATACATCACATATCATCACATACTTCATGGGACTTGGATGGAATTGGGCACCCAAATCCAAAAAAAAATGCTGGGTGATGAATTGTGCCATCCTCGTCCTGGTGAGTTGATCTATGGTTCACTAGATTGGTTTACGGGAAAAATTTAACCGGAAACCCCATTAATTTAATGGTCAAAACCCATGGGTTTCCGGTGAAGATTTTCCCATTAAAAAACCAATCCAGTTAGATCATGGTGAGTTGATCGAAAAATTCCGCCGGCATCCAGGCCCGCGGCTCTCCATGGCTCTCCTACCGGCCAAGGCCCAGGTGATGGCTTTCGGCACGTCCCCATCCACCAGCAGCGTGTCCAGCTGCTCCACGATGAGGCAACCGCTGAAACCTCGGTTACATGGAGATGTTCATGGGAGAATCCTGGGAAAATATGGGAAATCCACATGAAAATCACGAAAAATATGGAGATTTAGAATTTAGATGGGAGAAAGAAACATCTAGAAATGATATGATAGATCAGTCATAAAGCATGATCTAATAGACACTAATGCCTTGCTGGAAAATCCCCCAGTTATGGATGATATTCCCACTAAAACCCCGTTTACATAGGATGTTCATGGATTTTCCAGTACCATGTTTGATTTCCAGAGGGTCCCTTCAGGTAATCTCACAGTTTGCCATGAAAAACGATGGAGCATGGCCATGTTTAAGGTAGTGCAAGCAGCCAATACAAGTGATCGACTATTAATCAATAGATAGGTGGGCACGTAGCCAAGAAAATACTATTGGATACTATTGGATTTGAGTCATCCATAGATGCCATAGATTCGATCATATCTACACCCGTAACAATGGGATCTGGGATGGTTCCAAAAACGATGGATTGGTGGTCTTGATTTTAGGTGTCTTGTCAAACACATCCATTAACAATCCCACTATCACAATAGTTAACATAAGATCTTATAAGATATTACAAGAATGAACACAATTCTATCTGTGTTTATATTCATCATACATCAGTATAGTCCATCTAACACGATTGTACCTCGTGTGTTCATGGGCTAGACAGCCGCAACACCCAGTGATTTAGAACATAACTCGCCCCAACCATGGGATTCTTGGCTGTATACCAAATTTTCCAACACACCCATAGCAGCAGAATGGGTTTGATTAAAAACAACTGTGTTTAAGACTAAGTCTATGGATAAAAATAACCCCTTTAGCATCCGCTGTTTCATTGGGGTGGTACTATTTCAGCAGCAAATCATCAGTTGGAAGGATTCACCTTAATCAACCAAGGTTCCGGGGTTGGCATTACCTGAGAATGACTATAGTGGCGTCTAACCTCCGTTGACAATTCATGTGTCTACTCAGCGGGACGCCATGTGAGCAATCATCTTCCCAAATCTGGTATTTCTTCAACAAATCATCAACATCCAACCAAAACCAGGAAGAAAATTCACAGAGCCTTAAATTACAGAACAATAGCCAATGTATATCCAACATTACGAACCTATTATAGTAGCCAATGTCAGGTTCATAATATAATTACTACATTAGTATTATAGTATTATAGTATTATGAACCATACTATCCATATTATCTGGGTAAATTGTAATAATTCACTAACCTGAAATAAGGCCATTTTGGGATGAAACCTGAAATAAGGCCATTTCGGGATGATTCCCATTGATTCCCCTTACTAACCATGATTCCAATGAGGTCGTAGTGAGGTCGTTATAATTTACCCAGATATTATATAATGGGTACTATACTATAGTATTACTACATATTACTACATTCGTATAGTACCCATTGTCGTCAGGGCAAAAATGACATCGTGTCATCCAAGGGACCGGTGCAGCCGAAGACCACCAGGTCATAGGGACGACGTTCCGGTTCCACCTTTTTTCGCTTGGTCAGTGTGATGAAGATCCCCTTGGGGAGAGACCATTGGATCCATGGTTAATACATGGTTAATACATGGGAAAAAACATGGGAAAAAACATGGGAAACAAAAACATGGTTAATACATGGGAAAAAACATGGGATTAAACGTCTGAAACCACATGATCTTTCGAATCATGGGGATACAATAAGGATCACCAACAGAAATGAGGAAATGCCTTGTGGAGGATCCAGGGAATCGTTCGTTTTACCAGAAAAATGATGGAAAAAATACAACCTGGATCGTTTTACCATGGAAGTTTCGGGGATGCCAACCAGCGAGTGAGAACCAGTGAAACCAAGTGAATTTGTTACTGTTTTTTGTTTAATATTGCATTATATATGCATTATATATACATGATATATATATATATGATATCAATCTCTATATACATATATCATATATCATATAAAATCATATAAATATGTATATGCATATGTGGGAGGCAGGTCCAAGTTCAAAACCTATGATTTCCCCTATTCTTTTGGGGGATGAACATCCACCAACAGTGACTGCCGTGGCAGCACCGCGCCTCGTCTAAATCGTCAAAATCGATCATGGCAAACGGCCCGAAGAGCAAAGCTATCCCTTGTCACCTTTATGGTGTCCACTGCTTCAACTGGGGGGTGTAAAACTTGAGCTTTTCCAGCACTGTCAGCACTGTTGTACTCCCAAAAAAGACACCAAAGATCTGGGTAGCTTTGGGAATCCGACCGTTTGGCTCATGACATGTGCGTTGGGATCGACTGGCCCCTTGCCAGCTATGGCCGTAGCTGAAGGAATTCGACGAAGCCCAGCTGTGTTGTATCTCAATATATATATATAAATATATTAATATACGTATATATATATAATATATATATACATATCATTTACACTTATTTGCATCGCATCCACTTGGAGATGATTTTCTAAGATGGAATGGGGCTTGTCCATGGCCCTCGGATCTGGAAAACGGCCGCAGCTCAGCGGTTCGGATGGGTTCGGATGACCTGGGGCCCGAAAAGGGTGTCTCGACTGAGTCTGAATGATGTGCTTAAATGGTTGATAATCTATGGTTAATCATGGTTAAAATCATGGTTAAGCATGGTTATTTACCATTAATAGCAGTTGTCAGCCATTCTTGGAGGAGTGCTTAAAATGATTTAAAATGTGCTTGGTGGATGAATTCTGTGTATCCGATAGCGGGTTTTGATGGTCAGTTGGAACAACCTTTTGACCGATGGGGTCGCTTTTTACGGCGGGGAACATCCCAGTTGATTCTCAGATTTACCCCATGTTACTTCGGCGACCAGGTCATGTCCCATTGCGAAACCCAAACATGGGCTGGTTGGTGGTATACTCCTCTGAAAAATATGAGTCAGTTGGGATGTTTGTTCCCATACCCTCTGGTGAACTAACATAGCAATGGAAAATGACCATTTATAGTGGATTTTCCCATAAAAAATGGTGATTTTCCATAGTTATGTTAAATTATCAGAGGGTATATTATGGAAAATAAAAGCCATGTTTGAAACCACCAACCAGGTGTCGACAGTCGACCCCTTTTGGAGGCACATCTTTTTCAAACTCTCCAGCCACGCGTTTTGCGCCAGTTCCGGCGCTTGGCCATGTTTCGCCCAGCGCGGCTGGGATTTCTGGCAACGGCAGAAAAAGCCATTGGGCCCGGTTGGGGAATGGTAAGGGAGGAGCAGGTGGGGTGATGGGTTTATCATGGTTTGTCCATCCTAAAATACATGGAAAATAGATGAAAATAGCAAGAAAAGTGGTGGAATACACTAGAAGACCAACTAAGATCAACTAAGTACCAACAAAAGTGGTGGAACACTATCAGAAAAATACGGAAAGTCAAGTTGTGAACATCAAGTACCAAAATCCCAAAATTACAAGACATCCTGATCATCAGATCTTGGGCGCCGAAAAAACACCGGCTAAAACCTCTGAGAAATTGATAGACATGCCAAATCCCCCAGATTTTATGGTAATTTTCATTGAGACAATGATCATTCACCAGCTGAGAAGTGTGAAAAAGACCTATTGAGACATAAAAAGTGGTTGGTGTTCATATGTTTTCATGGGGATTCCCAGTTTCTGGACCATGATCAGCCCCACTTTTTTTGAAGGATGGTACCCTCTGGTAAACTCACGTAGCGAACTGGAAAATCACCATTTTTCATGGGTAAATCCACTATTTCTATGGCCATGTTCAATAGCTATGTGACAAATTACCAGAGGGTAGTAGATTTTCATGGCCCCAACCCGCAGACCTCATGGGATCGTTGTGTCTGACTCCTCCAGCAGCGGCGCGTCACACGTTCTGTCGCCGGCCTCAAAGTCCCAAGCGTTTCAGTGGTGTGGGGAAACACTTTTACCGCAAATGCAGAGGAAATCCCTAGTTTCAGTGGAACATATATATATATATCATATATGTCTCAAAAATTGTCAGTATCATATCTGATGCATTACGGATGAAACACACGTCTGCTAATAGTTTATAGTTTATCTGTTTGACTCTTAATGTCTAGGAATGGGTCTGAAGAGCGTGATTGTGCACAAATCCAACTGGGGACTTATCATCTTATCACTCTTAGGTATAGTAGGGCTAAAGAAATAGGAGAAAAAAAAACCTTCTAGGAGATAAGTCTGTTCCAACTGTGTTTGACCCCTGTGATTACGGATTGCCTAGAAATCACCTTGGATCATCAGACAAGCGACGAAGGTCCGTTACGGTTTTCCGGGTCGTACCCAAGCCATGGGGATCATCTGAGAATCACCCATGGGGATCCATTCAAGCCATGGTTGCCGTGTTTGGTACAATTCTTGCAATAGCTATGTTAGTTTTCTTGAATATCCACTATTAATGGCATTTTATAGTGATTTAATGGCATTTTATAGTGATTTAATGGGATTTTATAGTGATTTAATGGGATATACCCTCTGGTAAACTAACATAGCTATTGAAAATGGCCATAGAAATAGTGGATTTTCCCATGAAAAATGGTGATTTTCAATTGCTATTTAAACGTTTACCAGAGGGTAAATTCTAGGGAATCACTGACCTCAAAACGTGCAGCTTGGGAATTCATTGTTGGGACAATTACCCCAATCCAATTCCCATCATTTATGTTGTGGCATCGCGACATGACCTCTCTACAATTTATCCAGAATAGAATATCCCCATAATACCAACATTTCACTCAAAGAAAAGCCGCCATATCAAGTGACCATATCACATATGGTCAAATCAGTTAAATCATGTGAAATCATGTAAATTACTGTAAATCCTTTTTCAAAACGGGCTTAAATCCCATCTTAAATCAGCCAGTTAAAGCCTCCTCGCTCTTGTGCTGCTGCCATTGCTGAGATGCCTCACGTGAGGCGCCCTATGGGGAATGACTAACCAGTGGAATGGGGTGCCCTATTCTAAAACCAAAACCGTCTAAGTATATCTAAGTTGGTTTCGGAAAACTTCACTCTTTGGTTTTTTTCGGAGCTATCTATTTTTTTGATTGGAGATCATAAATCAAATGATATAAAATGTAACCCGGGTGTGAGCAGCACCTTGAATCATTGGGATAGTCTTCAAGGACTCTTGTTCCCTGTCCAACATGGAGCTTTGCTGCAACTCTTCCCAGAAACCAAGTTCGTGGATTCGACTCTAGGGACGTGCTGTGTAACCAATGGGGAGCCAGGGCAGATACCTAATGTATCCTGTGGAGATATCCACTGGCACTTGAATGGGCTGTTGAACCAATGGTTCTCAAACATTATCCACTTCCTGGCCTGGTAACCAACGAACAAACCACCCAGTCAGCATTGAGTTGAAAAAACAGGTCTGACAATGGGGCCGCAATACCCCTGCTGCCAACATAGGTTCTACCGGTTCTACTTCCATTAGGGATGGTTAAAGACAGGTGGCGTGGTTGACTCCCGGCCAACCAGAATCCCGCCAAACATCACTTTGCCACCTGCCCACTTCAATGACCAGCCCATTCAGCAACCAACTACCATTACCCAATGATGGCCCCAGCGTACTGGCTTAGCCTCCGAAGCTGGTAAAAGGATAGTAAGCAAGGTGTGTCCGAATGTATTCTATGTGAAAAGAGGTTGTAAATATCTAATTATAACTTGCAATCTAATTACACAAAAGTATGTCTCAAAAGCTGGTGCCCCGAAAACCCATTGTTTATCATATATATATATATATATCTCTTTCCCAATTGGAATGACCATAATTTTTTTTGTACCTCCATTTTGAGACAGACTCTTCAGGTCACAGTTATGGATGATCACATCCCCATTCAAATGGAACAATCATAGGATTTTGACCCATCCCCAACTCCCCGTCTTTGATGGTGAAAATCAGGAAGATTCCAACGTTTGGGTAGAAAAAACCGCGTATCCCAATTTTGGGCAAACACAAATATCAAATGTTGTTGTTTATATTCATTCCGTTATACGGTACAAGTGAATGGGTCACAACCCTGGTACCCTGGTGAACACCAAAATAGTTGGGATTTGTGGATGTTCATTCCCCCACATATGGTATATTATACTATTGTACGGTATAATAGATATTGATCCATACCCATATCCTCAGTGTATCCAAAAAAAAACAGCTCTATAAATCACAGTTTGTTCTTGATATGCATTCCACTCACTATATCCTTAGTATAATATATAATATATATATATATATGTGGCTATGGACCAATAGCCATAAATACATATAAAATCATATAAATACCATTTTTAGGGAGATGAACATCCATCAATCCCAGCTATTTGGATGTGAACAGGGCGACAGCCGGTACCCATCCCCATCTCCCCCAGCAATTCGCCGGCGGGTCGTCCTGATTCAGGAGATCTTCCCCGAGCAAGTTCGCGTCCAGCAAGCTTTGGCTTCGCTCAACACCTCAAGGTGCTATGGATCATCTGGGGTCATTCGACTCGAATATTTCACTACAGGATGGGGCCCCCGTTGGTTTCCGCGTGAACCGTTGCCTTATTTTTGTGGCTGAATGAACTATGGTTTATGGTAGATATAACGAACTAGCTAATGGGGGTTATAATGGCTTATAAACCAACTTGTAACTGGCGGTGCCCATCCTGTAAACATGACATAATTTACCCTGTATGGAGATAATCATCAGTAATCATTTCACTAACTATGAAATACTGTATTTATCTGGATATTATATCTGAAGAATAGTTCACTAAACATGGATATGGGATAATTCCTTTTATATATATATATACCATTGTTCCAATGAGGGAGAACAGTGAGACTGTGAGGTCGTTAGAAATTCGCTGGATGGAACTGGGGAGTCAACCAATAACGCAAACGATAGATGGTTCAGAGGCCCTCATTGTTGGTGGTTGGTTAAAAAAAATGAAGGCCATATGAACCATCAACAATATTACCATATAAATATGTTCATCAACCAGCATCAACCACCAACATATGAACCAATAACGAAGCCTTACCACTTTTTTTTACCCATTTGATATATTTACCAATTATTTACCAAATATATGAACCTTACGAAGCCTTACCATATATTTACCATTAAAATCCCATTAAAATACCATTAAAATAACATAAAATCCCATGAAAACCCATTAAGGTTTCTCCATGAAGGGAGATGTTGGGAGACTTTGACCCACTACATCCAGCACACCATAGCGACGGGGGTAGACCAGTTATTTCATTACCACAGTAACGTGCGACATCTTTGCATATCTGGTTGATGGTATACCTACCCCTCTGAAAAATATGAGTTCGTCAATGGGAAGGATGACATCCCATATATTATGGACAATAAAAAATGTTTGAAACCACCAACCAGATATATATGTATGTATGTATGTATATATTTATGTACATATACATCCCGCTGGGTGTGAAACCGTGCGTGTAGTGGCGCACTTTCTCATGAAAAAGTGACAAACTTCTCAGGGTTTCTGGCTCTGGAAACCTTAGATGTCCGAATTTTGACTATTTTTTTGGTCAATTTGCACGCCGCCACAGCGCCAGCGCAATTTCCGTTGCCGGTTTTTTACTTCTCCGTCCAAGGATGTCAAGCAGTGTTTTGCAGGAAGACTTGCGCTGTCTTAGATGTTGTATGAAATAGTTCAAAGCGTAGCAACAAGAAAGTCTTAGATGCTGTATGAAATAGTTCAAAGCGTAGCAAAAGCAAAAAGAAAGTCTTAGATGTTGTATGAAATAGTTCAAAGCGTAGCAACAAGAAAGTCTTAGATGCTGTATGAAATAGTTCAAAGCGTAGCAACAAGAAAGTCTTAGATGTTGTATGAAATAGTTGAAAACGTAGCAAAAAGAAAGTCTTATATAGATGTTGTATGAAATAGTTCTAGAATATTCCGAATGCAAGAATCAAGAAGGTGTCCACATTGACGTTATCACACCCCCCCCACCCCCCCACCCCAACCCCCCCACCCGAAACCCCGAGAAACAACAGCACAGAATATTCCGAATGCAAGAATCAAGAAGGTGTCCACATTGACGTTATCACACCCCCCCCACCCCCCCACCCCAACCCCCCCACCCGAAACCCCAGAGAGAGATACAACCATTAGAAAAATATGCACGACTACACGCGCGGTTTTACACCCGCTGGCATATACATACTACAATCCGGCTACTAGAGAAAATCATGAAGCCTAAACAAATATCTGACTCATCCACATGACTGTAGTAAACATTGGAATCTTCCAAAATCAAACGCTCTTGACCTATCAATTCTCATGATCTCGATCATCAAAGAAAAACCATGTTCCATCAAGAATCTAGAGTGTTCATATCCCAAAAAATACTTGGTGCACCATTCAGAATCCCAACATCTGGAGTTATTCCCAATCTTCTCTGAGATCATTTGCAATTAATCATCTTGTCAAGCAAGACCCATCCATGTTCAACCCCAAACCAATCAGATTTCAATCAGTATTTCCTGAAAATACATGAAAATACCAGGTTTCAAACCAGATTCATCCATTCTCATCCAAAAACAAATCTCCACATTTTCCACTAAGATCACCAGAATCCCAATATTCCACACTATAAATTTATATATATATATATACATATACATATACATATTATATGTACTATATTACTATATTATATATATATATATGTAATGAAAAATCACTTTTATTTTTTGGGCTGATGGTTCCATGGTCAGCCCCACCGTCTCCGTTACCTGCCCTTACAGTAACGTACCCGGAACGCTCACCGCGTCACGCGGAGTCCTCCGCTCACGACCCTCAGGCGGCGTTAAGTTCCGACCCATGGAGGCAAAGAGCTGCTCCACTAACCTTGGTGTAGGACGCATCGACTGTCCCAAACACTATGTAATTATAATGATATTATAATATGATAATGATATATTATCATTATTATCATTATTATTATTATCATTATTATTATCATTACTATTATCATTACTATTATCATTATTATATGATAATAATAATATAATAATATTATTTATTCATAATGGTACTTGGTAATATGACATATCATAATATATTATAGAAAAATAAATATAATAAATGTACCACAATCGAAAAGTAAGATAAGTTACTTTTCGAAAAAAGAATAACGTTCAATCTACTTTTCTATTTTGGTGTTGCGAGAAAAAACAAAGAACATGGGGATGATTTATGAAGCAATGTTTTGCAGGAAACCATTACTTATGCAGGGTAACTTGTGCCTAGATGTTTGACTTGGAATACAAGTATACCAGTATACAGTATACCGTATCCCCGTATGATTTATGGGTTACTTACGGATCATGTACGATTGCTTACCCAAACCATCTCTGGGATTGTTTGGGTGTGTCGAGAAATTGGATCTAACATACCACCAATTCATGGCCAGTGAAGTTTCATCAAAAAAAATGACTTTCTGGACGAACCAGAAACTAGCGTGCAAAAACATCTGGCAATGTTTGATGCCCGTAATAGATCAGGTAATGATCAGGTATAGGAAGTTATATACGGTTTCCAGTAAAATGCGGATCAAGAACAGGGACCAACTTCCGGCACAAATTGCCATGAAATTCACATTGGACTCCTCAATTTCCGGGGAGTCATATAATCTTCGCCTTTAAGGGGCCTCTCGAAACTTAGCTTTTTAAGTCTTTACAGTTTCCATTCATTTTCGTATTTAAAACCATTGAAGAGCAATTCTGGTTGGTGGTTTCAACCATCTTGAAAAATATGAGTTCGTCAATGGGAAGGATGACATCCCATATATTCTGGAAAAAAACATGTTCCAAACCACCAACCAGAACTCTTCGTAACTTTCCACTGGTTTCAGATATGACCTCCTGCAGCTCCAACGGCCAAGGTGCTCCATCCCAGCGCCACCGGGGGAAGCACCTGAATTCGCCACTGGTGGGAGGTCTCCTTTCGGGTGAATCCCTATGATAAGAAGATAAAGAAAAATGGGAACCTGAAAATTATATGAAATCACGAGGTATTTGATGATCTGATACAGTAGTTCAAAAATCCTGGCAAAGCAGTTCTATCTATGTATCAATTGTCTGGAGAGTCCGATGTGGGGAGATTTCATCAGCAAGGCATGAATGGATGTTTCTTCCACATCCACGAATGGTGAATTGATGTGGGGACCCAAACCTCTTTAGAAGGTCATCCAGTTTCCCTGATTGGTGACTGGTTGTTGGCCAGTTTTCCCCATCATTGCTCGAACATCTCCATATTTGTGTTTGTTCATTCTCCCCACAATAACGTTTAGTGGTTGGTTCCCAGCTCCCCTGCTAAACGTTAACTTCTGTTGCTATCTATATACCCTCTGGTAAACTAACATAACTATGGAAAATCACCATTTTTAATGGGAAAACTCACTATAAATGGCAATTTTCAATAGCTATGTTAAATTACCAGAGGGTATCTCATGATTTTGGGGGTTGGTTGCCTCTAAAAAACCGGTTACAACCTCCAGGTGAGTTTTCCTACGGCGTCCACCTAGTCCACCTCCACTGCGCCGACTCCGTGCTGAGGTTGTTGCGCCTGGGCAGCGACTCCGTGAGCACCGAAGCTGGTTGGACACATGGAAATCATGTGGGTTAGCATCGTCTATACCATCCTATACATGTTTTTTTCCCTGCCTTATTTTGGTGGTTACTATGTACAGTATGGATTTATAATGACTTATATATCTTATATGGTTTTACGGATTTGTACTGATTGACAATTGGGATTGATGTCAGCGGATTGTTGAAGCACCTCTTCTGAATCTGGAAAGTGGCATGCCAGGCTTTGGGTGGTCCAAAGTCAGCAGTTGCATAGCCTTATATTGAGGCATTACAGTATAGGGATTCCACCAACCCCCCTATGTCGGCGACCCCCACAACAGTTTAGATGGTTAAGATTCATCCAATATCAATGGAACTCATATCAGTGGATATCTAATATGGTACCATGAGGGTTCAACCAACCCTCCAATCGGAATGACACGTGTTGCTGAAATCTAACCTTCTAAAGGTATCAAGTATATAATGTGGTAAACCCAAAAATGAACTTATATACGGAAAATTGATCACTTGCGACTCGGAAAACTGCTCACTTGCGTCTCCGAATCACTTACGTCTCCTAGGTATCACTTGCGACTCGGAAAAACGCTCGCTTGTGACTCACACACCTTTTTGATCCAGACAAAGGTTGGGGTGGGGTGGGGTTGGGATGTTAACGTTCACTGGATTTTACTGGCACTTGCAAACCGAGAATTTCATACATACATTTGCAAACATACAGGTTGAACAGGAGGTGGGGTGGGGTGGAGTGGGATGGGCATTTGCAAACCAAGAATGGCACGCATCCACTGGCACACATACACGTTGAACAGGGGGTGGGGTGGGGTGGAGTGGGGTATCATTGGCCCAGACGATCATGCCAGTAGAGCCCGTCACGGCCGTTGACCGCGTCATCTCTTGGTTTATTTTTTCTTGGCACCTTTTTTCCTTGCCAATTTTTTCTAATCCCATCCCTTTGTCTGGGCGCCCTTTTGAATCCTCGATCTCCTATTCCCTTGACATCCTTTTCCGATGTTTCCACTTTCGCTTACAGCCACCGGCAACCAAGTCTGTGAGTGTGTGTGATGTGTATGCGTGTGTGTGTGAGTGACGTATTTGTGTGTGTGTGTGATGTATGTGTGTGTGAGTGAGTGATGTGTGTGTGTGAGTGATGGATGTGTGTGTGTGATGTATGTGTGTGTGTATGTGTGAGTCAGTGATGTGTGTGTGTGTGCGATGTATGTGCGAGTCAGTGATGTGATGTGTGAGTGAGTGATGTGTGTGTGAGTGATTTGCGTGTGTGAGTGAGTGCGGCACTTGGTGTGTGTGATGTATGTGTGAGTGAGTGATGTGTGTGTGTGAGTGTGTGAGTGATGTGTGTGTGTGTGATGTGAGTGAGTGGGTGTGAGTGTGAGTGTGAGTGTGAGTGTGAGTGTGAGTGTGTGTGAGTGTGAGTGTGAGTGTGAGTGTGAGTGTGAGTGTGAGTGTGAGTGTGAGTGTGAGTGTGAGTGTGAGTGTGAGTGTGAGTGTGAGTGTGAGTGTGAGTGTGAGTGGTGTGTGTGTGAGTGAGTGAGTGAGTGAGTGAGTGAGCGAGTGAGCGAGTGTGAGTGTGAGTGTGAGTGTGAGTGTGAGTGTGAGTGTGAGTGTGAGTGTGAGTGTGAGTGTGGGTGTGAGTGTGAGTGTGAGGGAGGACAGGAGGGAGGACAGGAGGGAGGACAGGAGGGAGGACAGGAGGGAGGACAGGAGGGAGGACAGGAGGGAGGACAGGAGGGAGGACAGGAGGGAGGACAGGCGGGAGGAGGAGAAGGAGGAAGGAGCGGATACCGCACTAAAAACAAAAACCCCACACGTCAATGTGGGGAAAAATCACTATGGTGTTTCCTTCTATGTAAAGGCCGCCAGGTTGCAAGCCTCCCTTAATGCCATCCATTTGTTTGCGTGCGTGGGCCCTCCTTGTTTTGGGGTGCCCGGGGCTGTGTTGCATGGGAACGGGGGTTCCTTCCACCTGGTGCTGGGTGCCCTGCCGGGGTTTTGCGTTTGCATAGTTGTTTTTTCATGTTGGGCCCCGCCGGTGGGATGTTTGCTGTTTTCTGACATGCATGGCTGTGTCTGTGCTGGCGCCTCTTGTGTCTGCATGTCGCGGCTGGCCCTGCTTGCTGGACTTCTCAGCGTGCTTCTTGGGTTTCTCTGTTTTCTCCTTCTTGTTGGACTTCTCTTTCTCCTTGTCCTCGGGCCCATCTTTGCTCTGATTATTTCTTTTTTGTCTTCATATTCTCAGAGTCCTCCTCCTGGAACCCTCAGCCCTAGCCTCGGCTCTGTTGACGGCTTTCCATTTTTCCTCGATGTCTGCCTTCTCCCTCGCCAATGCTGCCTTCTGACCCACAAATTCTTCCTTTGGACAACCTCCGCCTTGACCGTGACCTGTTCCAGTCTGGCAGTTTCGGCTTGCAGCACGGAGACCGTCGCAGCCATGTGGTGGTGTGATTTGGTGATATGGTGATGAGGTGATGTGGTGATGTGATGATGGTGGTGATTTTGATGGTGGTGATTGTGGTGATTCACTTCCTTCACTTTTTGAAAATCCGTAAAGCGGAGTTTAACTTCCTTTGATAAAAAAATATTTCCATATTTCAATTAATTTACAGATCAGGCCCAGGCATCCTTCTAGTATTGCCCAGAAAAATGAATACCTCCTCAGATCCCGACAAATAAACTGTTCTGCCCGAACATTGTTTGGATGTGACCAGCACATTGTTTGGAGTTGCGAGCGAGCACATTTTGGAGTTACAAGCGAGCAACATTTGGAGTTACAAGCCAAACATCGCCCTCTTACCACCTATTTACCGTGATATTAGGGATGGTTTATTACTGGGTTTACCACGTTAGGTACTATTGCTTACACTGGATCCCCCATTTCTTTTGGAAAGAAAGTAAACATCACTTATCATCACTTCCTGGTCCAAGTGAGTGCATCACTACCACAGTTTCCTCCAAGCCACTCCATGCATCAGAAGCAAAGATCTTCTGCAGCAAGAAACTTCGCCGTGCCTCGGGGCGCATGGATTTGAGGACCCCAGAAAAATCTCCCAACGTGTTCCCAGTGTTCCCTATAGATTCCCCAAGGGGATCCCATTGGGAAGATCAAAAATCATCAGCACTCCACTGTGGGATGGAGTCCCACAGTGGAGATGATCGCGGATATGGCAACACACAGCACCCGTTGTGGCAACATATTTTTACATCAACGGGCCAACAATGCCCAAAAAAATATGCCAAACACTTGCAAAAGAACCAAAAAAAACAGAAAAAACAAAGAAAAGTTGAAGACTTCGTTCACATCTCCATGATATCTCCATGATATCTCCCTAAAATATCCCCATGATATCCCCATCACCCTCTGGTAATTTAACATAGCTATTGAAAATCACCATTTTTAATGGGAAAATCCACTATAAATGGCCATTTTCAATAGCTATGTTTGTTTACCAGAGGGTATATCTCATATCCCCATGATATCTCCCTAAAAAACTGACCAATCACCGTCCCAGGTGCGTGGCTCTGCAGCTTTTCGCTGGAGTCCGGAACCGGCGTTCCGGTGCTCCCGTTGGTCGCCCCCAAGCGACGTCCCGGGCTGAAACAATCCCTGGGCGGGCTGGGGTGGGGATGTCCCGGCTGGGATGAGGTAACTGGATTTAATCGCTTAGTAACTGGATGAGTTAACTGACTATTAGTTAACTGGGATGAGTGAAAATCCAGTTACCTAACTATTGGGTAGTAACTGACTATTAGTAAATTGGTGTTAACTGGGATGAGTTAACTAACTACAAATAACTGGGATTTACCATCCAGTTACTAACGACAAAACTTAACTCCCAGGGCCCATCTAAACAGATTAAACAGGAAAAAACCTTGGAGCAACAGGCCTAAACAAAACCATGGACGCTTAGCGGATGGGATGAAAATTTCCGCCATTGCGCGCTCAATCTAATATTATAGGGGGATGGATGAGATTGCAACCTGGAGTTGTTTTAGTACGCGACATGCTAGCAAATACCCGTGCGTACTTTGACAGGTCATGAGTTGAATACGTTGGATTTTACTACATGTTCATGTTTGGTCATGTTTTCGGCACATGATGAACTACGTTTTTGAGAGTCAAGCGTCATCAAAGGCGCAACATCTTTAGACTCTAGACTATCAGAATGAACTAAAAATGAAATAAATGTGAATGGCCGTCATAGCGTCCAAATGGTCTTTATCATGTCTTCTCCAAACTTGTTGATGCATGTGAATATGCAAAATATCTGCATGGTGGAATCACTGTGTGATTGCTCACCAGTTCCATTGTTCCATAAATGGTTGTACAAAACAATCCCCACATGGTAGATTTATATACCCTCTGGTAAACTAACACAGCTATGGAAAATCACTATTTTTAATGGGTAAATCCACTATTTCTATGGCCATTTTCAATAGCTTTTTGATGCTTTTTGTATGTTTACCAGGCCGGGTAGATCTATGGCATTGGCCAACCACACGAAATGGCTGTTTCCCCATGAAGATGGCCGTTTGAACAACTTTCCGTATGCCACAAAATTCAGGAAGCCACAAATGTTCCACGTGAAAATCCATGCTTTTTCCGGGAAAATCATCCCAATTGGGGTTTTTCCACCCGTAATCTTCGAGAAAAGCAGCAGATATTCCCAGCAGGCAGGTACAGCGACCACCTCTCGCGACCACCCAGAAACCATGGTGCTTTCGTGGATGGGATGAAATCACCAATCTTTGGAACCATATAATGTTTAATATCATATAGGGGGATGGGATTGTATAATATTGTATACTTTTTGCCATCTTTAGAACTGTTAAAACGATCTAACCAATTCGAACCGGAACTTAGCAAAACACTATGCCTTATTACGGTCTTTAAGCAGCAAAAATCCGCTGAAATAGATCTGTGCTGGTTAGATCCCCATGGTTAAAGTCACCCGTTTGAAATCAATCTATTAACGGTTTTACCACTAAGATCGCCCTCGAAGTCTCACAAATTTGTTGGCTAAAGCTCAATTCTTGCTGGCTCAATCCCAAATTGTTCTTTCATCCACCTCTAGGATAGTCACTGTGTGAAGACAATTGACAATGATCATAAATCTGATGAATCACTTGGGGTTGCTCATTCCATTCCATTTCTTGCCATTTTCTGGAGATCCAAACGGATCGTGCATCAAACTTCAAATACTGGAGCTCGGAAGCGTATGGCATGTCGTGCATGTCGTGGTGTAGCCCCGAGTCGCTTCAGGAAACGCCCTGGAAATCCATGGCTTTCCCGTTCGGACATGATCTACAAATAGTGTGCTTTCATGTACGCTCCAGATCAATCTTAGTTTTACTCGAGGGTTCCTATCAAATCACAGGATTTGATCACAAGTTCCGCACCAACTTTCCGAACTGGAGCGGGTAGACGGCGGGGGTTGGAAACCAAGGAGTCCTTAGATTTCCCGCCACGCCTTTTCGGAAAAGCCCAGTCTGGGGTACCCATTACTGGTGGTTCTGTGTTTGAGTTATGGGTCCTTACCCAAACATGACTTGGAATCTGCTCCATTGCGCCTGATCCATCCTGAGACCCCTCTATCGGCAGAAAGGATTCCTAAAACCCGCTAACACCATGTGTAGAAACGCTATGAAGAGGAATGTGCACCACAAAATGCATGTGTATCCCATCATTTGTATGAATTGCTGCCTTGAAAAGCAAGGCACATGTGAAAAAGCAACCACCAATGCCCATCAATGCCCAGAAGTGGACCAAGAGCTTTTTTTTTGTCCATTCGCGGTGGTTTGCCTTCCTATATTTCATGGTTTCGAAGTCTATAAAGTCATAATCATTTATAATCTATCAGGCCCTACCTGGGCCCTCCAAAGTAGCACTTTTTGTTGGCTTTTGGCAATGACCAAAAATAGTTGGTCTGACCAAAAATAATTGGTCACAAGAAAACATATTGCTGTCGTTTTCGGCTTGGAATGATGACAAGGGTCGGCTGTTGGCTTCACACTTTGAAGTCCATGGTGCAAAGTGTTGTTTTGCCCGGCTACCTTGAGCCCCTGTGTCCACATAAATTAGATGTCTTACGATGCTTATATAATCTATAAAGTCATAATCGTTCATAATCTATCAGACCCAATGTATATTGTCATCCCATATAGGGATGGGGAAACAGTTCTATGTTTTACCAAAAATGTTCCAATGCTACTTTCTGGTTGTTGTTTCCACGGGTTGGAGTTGGATCGTGCTGTGAGATCCACTGTGGCCGTACAACATTCAAGCTTTTGTCGTATCCAGGATTTAAATCTATGATCGTCTGATCATTTTAGATCTAGTTCCCTTAAGTCGTTTTAGTCACCAAAAAATTATCCACCGAAAATCAAAAAAAAAAATCTTTTGGAGATCATTTTAGATCATTTTACCCTCTGGTAATTTAACATAGCTATGGAAAATGGCCCATTTACAGTTCATTTACCGAACTTAAAGATGGTGATGTTCCATAGTTTTTTGTATCTTTACCAGTTTACCAGAGAGTAGATCTATCTTCGGTCGATCTTCGGTCACCCAAAAGGACGATCCACCGATCCGATGAAAATCAAAACGGATCCTCCAAGGTGCCCCAAATTGGCGGCCCGATAGCTCTCAAACTCCGTCACACAGCTGGCAACTCCTGGGAAGCCCATGGCATCCCATGGCCCATGGACCAAATTTATTGCTGGGAGTGATTCTGAATGGAAGAAATCCATGAATGGTTTATGGCCGTTAAAAAAAAAATGTGAGGCAAAATCAATGGGATGTTCTTGGCCAATGGGAATTGATTTTGGGTTTATAACATAACTACGGGACAAACACGGATTTTAGCCAGTAGGAATATGGATCGAACGGATTAACCGACTAATTTTTATTTCAATGGATTGATGTAAGGGAGAATGAACATCTACTGGAAACACAGGATTTCCAACCAAGTAGAGGAGAGTTGTGGGTTCCTGTAACTGTTCCCTTCATCCTTCAGCCACTTCTGGGAGAGCTATTCTAAGTCCATCAAATAAAATTCCGTAGATGGACCCCACCCAAAATGAATAGATCCAACATGATCCAGCACTAAACTAAACCAGGATTCATTTGCGGAACTTCAGTGAGAAGAAAACTACAGTACCGAATGCCGAAAAATATTCTTTCGGTGGCAATTCTTGCATACCAAGGCAACAGTTCAAAACGAAAAATTGTTGTGTGACTAGTTGGGTATACATGATCATTGCACATTGACATGTTTCTGTTCAGCAAAATTGAATGATGTGGCATCCACAAGGGTACAAGTTATTCAGCATTGTTAGGACATTGGCATCATCACCACCACCGCCATCGCCATCACCATCACCATCACTCATCATTCATCATCTTCATCATCATTCATCATTCATCATCATTCATCATTCACCATTCATAATCATCATCATTTATCATCATTCATCATCTTCATCATCATTCATCATTCATCATCATTATATAATCATTCATCATTCACCATTCATAATCATCATCATCATCATCACCATCATCATCATCATCAATCATCATCATATCATGATCATATCATCATCATCATCATCATCATCACCATCATCATCATCATATCATCATCATCACCATCATCATCTTCTTCAATCATCAATCATCAATCATCATCATCATCATCATCATCATCATCATCATCATCATCATCATCATCATCATCATCATCATCATATCACCATCATATCATCATCATCATCATCATCATCGTCATTACCATCATCATCATTATCATCATCGTCGTCATCGTCATCAGCATCATCATCATCATCATCATCGTCATCATCATCATCATCATCATCATCATCATCATCATCATCAATCATCATCGTCAATCATCATCGTCAATCATCATTTTCATTTCCATTTTCAACATATGTTTGTTTTTGGTATCATCAATTTCATTATAACTTATAATATCTTATAATCATTGTTGTTATGTGTGACCGTATGACTGATAATGACGACGCACGAGGAGAACCAAGACACCGGGACAAGAACTCTCGGATGGCGCTGCTGGGCATGTGCTGGTGACGACACCATTTGGGCAGTTGCCCAAGAATGGCTTAAACTCGAGGAAACACTCCTGAGATGGGAACTGGCTGTCTGAAAATTGGTGTGTGTTTCCTGAAATCAGGATTCACTGTCTAACTTGTGGGGGGTCGCCAGTTTTCAAGCAAAGCCAAGGATAGCCGACGGGTTGACGACTCCATCTGTTCTGCGTTGAAACCTGGACCTATTTAGAACAGATACTTCCAGGGAGGCCCAATCATCAAAACTAGAATTTTCATGGTGGCTTCCCACATACATTTCCCATGTCACATAGATCAAAAGCGGGCACTCCAAATGAACATTGTGCCAGGAAAATGGCATGGTAAAATGTCAAATTTAATGGTAAGCTTCCTTATTCAAAAGACTCCTCAAGTTCAGACCTTTAAAAAACCTAGTTCGTATATACAGTATCCCTGCGTATTGAGCTAGCTGATTTTTTTTCGTGCGGACCTCAGATTTGGACATCGAGCGGGGTACATCATAATGTATTTTATGATATAAATACGACATACCATAACAGAACAGAACAACACATTACTGAACATAATAATGTTAGCTTCAAATAAAACAAACATCCCCGAATTGATCAACACCCACAGTCCTAAAAATTGTTGGCATACTACGTTGGTTTCATTCTGGAAAATCTTATTCTTGTTGGGGGTGGTGAAAAGTAGTTTGGTTCTGATGTTTCTAACCTGATGGTTCTGGTTCTGGTTGATACAAACTATTGCTAATCATGCTGCTCATGGGTGCCGCTAGTTCTTTCTCTTTACCCCCATCTGGTCAAAAGCTTGCAAACGCACACCCACCTCACAGAATCCCCACATTTAGGAAAATAGTATGTTTGTTTTGATTGAGGAAAAATGCATTTGCATGCATTTGCCTTATTAGTTTTCTTAAAACACTGCATTTTGAGAAACTCATAAAGAGTACCCCCTTTAGGTGCGTTGCCCCTCCAAATAATGTGCATGCACGCACTCGATGAAAGAACACCCTCAGCCCCCCTAAGCCTCATACTGCTGATTCTCTCTACTTTGCGTCATTCTGCTGATGGCTTCTAGGGTTTGAACCCTTTTGGTCCTATCCTTTTTGGATCCAAACATGTCCCATACATTCCCATACTAAATCTCAGGAACCCCAGTCCAAATCTTATGAATGTCATGAACCCCATTTTTTCCCCACCTGTCAGGTAAGGGTCTCTAGATTTTATCAGGCTTACTTCCTTCCTTTCTTTGCTCATTGTCAGCTCCAAATCTCAGGGGCACTGCCGGACCTCAACCGTGAGCTCCAGTGCCCTGAGGTCTGACGCTCGTGGTTGAGGTCCGGCAGTGCCCATGCCAGAGAAAATGTTAGATCAGATGCCAGATAGAATGTCAGAATAGATGCCAGAAAGAATGCCAGAATGAATGGCAGAATAGAATGTCAGAAAGAATGCCAAATAGAATGCCAGCAAAGGTGCCAGAAAGAATGTCAGAATAGATGCCAGATAGAATCCCAGAAAGAATGCCAAATAGAATGCCAGAGAAAACGCCAGAATAGATACCAGAGAGGATGCCAGATAGGATGTCAGAATAGATGCCAGTTAGAATGCTAGAATAGAATGTCAGATAGAATGCTAGAAGAGAAGGTCAGAAATTATATGCCACATATACTTCCAGATGAGATGTCGGAAGCCATGACAAAACTTTGTCACGGTGGGGATCACTCGAAGTAGAGTATTTTTTTTGCTGCTCAGTACTTGGGGGTGAAACCCTTCTCGACTTCTCGTGGATCTAGACCTTCTGGGCGGGCTTATTATTGATACGAACTTGGCATAATAATGATAATAACAATAATAATAATAACAATAATGATAATGTACATAAGATGCATAATGGAAGAGTATCTTTAAGAGCTTCCAGCGAGAGGCGTCCATTCCACAGCAGCTGAAACGTGAACCCGTGGACAACTTCTATGAATTCGATGACCAGTTCTGAAACATTTTGTCAAGTTGTTAAGACTGGGTTAGTAAAGTTTCATAGTGAAAGTTTCAGAAAGTGTCTCAGAACTATAGTAATTCATAGTGTCAAGGTCATTATATGTTTTTTGAAATGTCACTGCTTTGTCGAGTTCTGACAATTTGGCTGGACCATACCGTGGTGACGTTTTTCATGGGATGATGTCTCCATTCTCATCCCTGGCTGCCCCAAGACTCCACGGACAGATCCGGACCTTCGCGGCGAAGAAATGTGAGGTGTGAAACACCCCCAAAAAAGGGTGACAGATGTTCGTTGGGGGGTTAATGGCCATCAATGATAGTAATATTAGGGGGGTTATACTAGAAGATTAATAAAGATAGGGTTAATGTATGATTAATAAAATTGATAGGGTTGATAATCTTGATTAATAAAATTGATAGGGTGAATTGGGGCATCAATAGGGGACTAACAAGGGACACTCGCATGACTAATTCATTGGTGCAGGAATGGGGGCCCATTCCTGGTAGGTTCCTGTTGGTGAATTTATGCTACAAGCCGTGATTTGTGGGGGGAATCATGAACAAACTTCCTGTATCATCCTGTATCTACATGTTTTCTATCCACCTTTAAGTAGAATCATTCATCTTTTTTAAAACGTAATCTCAATCCAAAATAATGTATTGCAATCTCGTTAAGCAAGTATTGCTCAGATCATCTGCAGTGTACAGGATGTTTGGGTCTGTACTGTATCTCTTATTATCTATACTATCCATCCTATCTATACTATCTATCCTATCTATCCTATCTATCCTATCTGTCCTATCTGTCCTATCTGTCCTATCTACCTACCCAAGTGGCCAATATCCCAACGGTCCTATCGTATCCATCTACAGTATCCATATCCTTCTCAAATTCAATTTAGCTTGCTACTGGCTATTGATCTATCTATATTATACATATACATCCGTCCTAATCGGTCCTATATCGTCCGTCTATCCATCCAGTCATTACATCAATTCGTGGTTGCTTGATAGAGATTCCCATTGTCTGACTGATGATAATCCCCCAAATCTTGGCTGGAAAAAAACACCCTATATTAGCCCATCAACCACCATTGATCAGATATATCGTGTATGATGTCGCCATAGTTCTGTTGATTACGCCCATATATTTGGTGCTGAAAAATCCCCAATAACCCAGAAAAACAGGGGTGCTGGCAGCCACTGCGATGGTAAGTTCCTCCAAGATCTCTGCCCTGGACCCCAGCTACATCCAACCCCCTTCAGGCCGCGACAGTATTCATCCAGAACTTCTTGGCTTTTCTGATCGCTGCAAGGTGTCACTGATCTGATTGATTTTTTTTACAACTGATAATGGTGATACATACAGCTATATTTAAAAATATTTAAATTTATATCTATAAAACACAAAGAGATATGGTATATAATGTAAGTCTATATTATGTATTATGATTACACAACTATTATTATGTATATACAAGTATAATATACATATTATAGTGTTTGCCAGGGAAAGAACCATGATATGAAAGGTCATCGCAGTAATAACTCTCAAGAAGGACCTTTAAATAAACCCTCCCACAGTGTACGCTCATGTAAGGGAAAATCAAGGGAATCCAATGATCAGAAGGCCTAAGTCACGAAAACTGGTATCGAACCAATCATTTTTTTCTAGTCTGGGCAAACTCCAAAAGCTGGATATAGCAACCAGTGATCACTGGGTTGATCTAAGGGAAACTCTGCACGAAAAGATTGGTAGTGCATGGTTCTATCATGTTTTATCTTAAATATCCGGTTTTCTGCATGTTGTTTCCTTACAAAGTTAGGGATACGTCCCCACATTGCTGACCCCTCAGTTGCAGGATGATGTTCACGTTTTCTCCAACATACCACAAAACATAACGCATTTTCCCATCTTCAGCAGGTAAATCATCTTCAAAAAACCAACGGACTTACCACCCTGCCATGTTTTTTTCCAGTTTCATTTCCCAAGGCCCAAGCCCTGCACCAACCACAAGATCACCATGCCCACCTCCTCGACAAAAGCTGTTCTGGACTTTTTGATGAGGATTTTTGTCTGCGTTTTTCTCCTCAGTTGCGGCAGCTAGCCATGAATTCCATGAATGAAGGTGCGGCAAAAAAGTTTGAGATGAGCCACGCAAAATTACTGGCTTGTTCGTAAAGATCCCTCCCATGATATACCCATTATCTTACCTATATAGCCTATATAGACGATGTTCCCATTAAATCACATTAATCCCCCCCAAACATTAGCATAGCATCTGCCCCTCGGTGCAGGCTAGGTAGGCCCCAGCACCCGCAGACGCCAGACCTGCCAAGGATGCCTCGATGCCTGGAAAAACCGCAGGTTTTGGATGGCTTTGGACAAGATCTCTCTGGGAGATGTTGGGAGATGTTGGGAGATGTTGGTTACAACCATCAAAAATGGAGCAACACCATTTAAGCGTCAATAACAGGGACTTGAGCATCGCCGAGTTTCTTGCGGGCTAGAAAAAAAACGAGAGACACGCGAGCCCGGCAACAAACTATCACTGGGTCACTGGAGGTTGTACATACTCAACTTAGAGGCAGGCAATAGAGGCCGGTTGCTAGTGGGTGTGCAACCAAGAGTTACCTACCTGTAAAATTGGTATTGGAAAAAAGTGCCAGTGTCACAGTCACAGATTCGTTTATTATGATGTTACTGTTCTACCTCATTTACAATTCATATTCATGGTCTAAAATAGCCATAAATACTCCATGTTTGGCTCCGCAAATCAACAGTACAAGAAATCTTCCATTTAGAAATAGCCGTCTTGTGACCTTCACAAAATATTTGCACAACCATACGAAATAACCTAGTTGTATATGGAACATGCTCAGATGGCTTATGGCTTACTGACCAATAGCATTAGTAGCATTAATCAAAAAGTCATTCGCATCCAAGAAAATTGCAGCCGTTCCATCCCCAACCGTCCCCCTCAACCGTTCCATCCCCTTGCGCAACGGGAAATTTCCCAGGGCCTGCAATGCCTGCCCCGCAGATGGCACGCAAGTTGGCTTTGTTGGTACAGTGGAACCTGAGATCGGCGCCACCCAAGGGGTCGATCCTGGGGATCGGAAAAGTGTGTTTCAGCGATTTTTCTTGACATCAAAAGGGATGGTACCAATGGCATTTACCACGGTGGAGAATTGAGAATTGGAGAGTTGATATTGGGAGTATAGATTCTGATAGATGATTAGTTGAATGATTACTTGAACTTGAATGATTAGTGGTGATTATTGATTGCTGATGATGCATGATGAGTAATGATGGTTGAAAAACGCGAAATTCCAGAACGTCCGCAAGTGTGGCTCCAAATGGCGTCTCCAGCCAAGTAATTATACAATATTAATCGATATTATATACTCAGGCACAAAGCAAAGTAGTGTGGTAAATCAAATTACCCTCTGGTTATTTAACATAGCCATGGAAAATCACCATTTTTAATAGGTAAACCATCTGTAAATGGGCCATTTTCCATGGCTATGTTAAATAACCAGAGGGTAAATCTATAAACCCAAAAACATGTCGTCTATCTTGAGATGGCTTTAAAAAAAAAAAACTCTTTTGGCTTCACCACAGATTTGTCCCTCCAATTTGTCCAGGAAGCGAGGTGAAACTCAAGAACAATGTTGCAATGCCTGCAGGGCTTATCAATGGGACATAGGAAAGCGCAAAAAAAATGGAGAGAACCAACCGTCAACAAATCGTCAACTTAAATAATTAGGGATTTTATGTTGGAGTTTCATATGGAATATTTTAGGGGATATCAGTACGTCAGTGAACATGGGCTTTGATCATCAAGACACTACCTGGGGACCTGGGACTTGGGGTGGGTTACGGGACATGGGGGCAAAAACCATCTTCTGACTCCAGCAAACGGTGACAACCTTTCACTTGGGCACAAATGGATGGTGAGGGGGACTTGAGTGCAAGCAAACCCTGCAATGACATGATGTTTGTGCTATGACATCATACATATATATATATATATGTTCTCTTAGTCTGCTACTGTGGCAAACTTCTCATGATGTTGGTGGTGAAAGAAAAGTCCGTTACTAATCGAGGACTCTTCCACGGTCACTAGTCAACTATTGGGTAATCAACCGGAGAACTGCTCTTAAACTGGAATCAAACTGATTAAACTAAAATCCCAAACTTCTCCAACCCCAAGTCACCAATCATAGAGGAACAAACTGGTGAACCTCCATGGCAATCAGAAATGAATCTGGCCCGGGCCCTAAAACCACGTTTTTTTCGAACCCCCCCAATACGCATATCTGGTTGGTGGTATACCTACCCCCCTGAAAAATATAAAAGTCAGTTAGGATGATTATTCCCAATATATGGAAAAATAAAACATGTTCCAAAACAACAACCAGATATGCGTATTGGTCATTCTGGGGGATGGGGTGGGGTGGGTGGGGCAATAACTTTCATGTCACTCGAAACAACGACATTCTACGCTCTGGCACTTCTCTTGCACTTGCACACACACACACACATGCCATGCTACACTCTGGGGATCTCTTCCACTAGCAGCACACGTCATGCTACTCTCTGGGGATCTTCTCTTGCTCAAACATTGCTCAAACCATGTGTTTGCTTCTCATGTTCAAGATCATATACAAAACCGAACAAATTCATGAAATTATGAGATCCAAAATCCAAGAGTTAGTTTTAGAAACTCTGATTTATGTCTCTTGCATAACCAAAAAGCATCTTTCACCTGAACTACATGTTCAATTGAACACCATGCAACATAAAACTGCTTGTAATTGACTCATCCAAATACGGTCCAAAACCTGCGCGGGTTTTTGTGTGTGCTCACCCTAAAAAACAGGCAGCTTCCAGTTGTTCAAATGCTTTATCTTACATTACTCTCTGAGATCCTTTAACATAGCTGTGAAAATCATCATGTTTCATAGGGATTTATCATCAATGGCCATTTCCCATAGCTGCCATAGCTCTGTTAAGTTGTCACAGGGTATGTCAAATGATGTCCAAAGTTTTGCAAGTTCAGTGTGATAGCGTGTTGAAAATATTTTCTGCATTGGTAAATTATACTAATTCACTACCCTCTGGTAAACTAACATGGCTATTGAAAATGGTCATTTATAGTTGATTTACCCATTAAAAATTGTGATTTTCTGTAGTTTTTTGTATGTTTACCAGAGGGCAACCTGAAAAGTTCGGCTGGGATGATTCCCCAGATCCTAAGAATGATTTCAATGAGTTCACAACGTGAGGTCACAAAAAAAATTACCCGGAATTATCCATATCACATCTTGTTGGTTATATCCTCTAACGATATTCCCATTCATATCCCACTAGTCCCTAAATAAAAACGCCATTAATCCCTCGTGTTTCATATCCCCATGTTTCATCCCCCAATCCATGAACACAGTGCTTGGAGTCCCACCCAACTTGGCCAAGATGTTGCTAATGCCACTGGCACAGCCTGCCTGGTGCGGTGATGCTGCTGATGCTGGGAGAACCAAACGAGTTAAATCTCCAAAAGTGGTGGTTTTACCATCCGAAATATTTTTTGTTTCCTGGAACTTCCATTGGATATCCATCCGTTGGGGCCCAGAATTCGGCGGAAAAAAAACCGGAAAAAAAAAAAAAAACATGCCTCCTAGTGGGGCTCCGCTGGAGATATCAATCACAGAAGTACCCTCTAATTTAACATAGCCATGGAAAATGGCCCATTTATAGATGGTTTACCTATTGAAAATGGTGATTTTCCATGGCTATGCTAAATAACCAGATGGTAAAAGTAAAAAGGGTATAAAAGGTTATGATATCACTCACCCACAAAACATGGCGTCTTCACTCGAAACGCCAAAAGTATGGCTACGCGCATGGCCGCCCCTTTGGGCTACTGAATGTAGCAAACCCGACAATGAACCCTACAATACCCCATATTTACATTTTCTGGGCTTACCAATTTTCCAATGTGTAATTATACCCTATAAATCCCTATAATGTTTACCATTTTGGGGGTTTGAGACATGTACCCCCAAAAAAAGTTATTTCTCTTTGAAATCACCCCGTTTCCAAGAAACCATCCCTTGATTCTTGAAATGACATGTGCGGGACCCAGTAATCCTCCGTGGGCAGTAGTGCCCTCAGTGCCCTCTAATCCTATAAGGTGTCTTCACCCATCTTACAGTTATAATATGTTATAATCTATAATCAATCACCATAAAGCCTAGGCTTTTAGTTAAGCTAGTATGCCCAGTTATTTTGAGCAACTTCGGTAGCTCTATGCTATCACAGATATCACAGCGTATGGATGATATGCATTGATATGCGTCGTATCAAGCAATTATATGCAATCATAGCAACCCCCACCAAGATGGAAAAACAAATTCAACAGAACATACCCTCTGGTAAACTAACGTAACTATGGGACATCACCTTTTTTTATGGGTAAATCCACTATTTCTATGGGCCGTTTTCAATAGCTTTTTCTATGTTTGCTAGGCCGGGTATCTTCTACGAAATGGCCAAAACTGGGATGCATTCTGCACATCCCCCAGCCACCAAGCAGAAACCCACCCGCCCCAAGGGCCCAAGGGCGCCCGCAGTCCATTCTCCACGCGATCTCGCAAAAACTTCGGCACGGCTTGGGAGGTCACAGGACCCACAAACGGATCGCGGCAATCTGCCTGGCGACTGGTGAGGACTGGTGAGGATTGGTGAAATTCATGCAAAAAAAACAACATGGTTTATCATGGTTTCAAGTTTCGAAGTATGTCATGTGTATGTCATGTCTTCCAAAACATTTACTTGATGAGTTCTTGGTGGGGGAGTGGAATATGCGTGGCATGTGTGTATTCTTGAACACATCCCGTTCTACAAACTCAGAAAATGTGACACACAGACTCTCCCCCCTGTGGATATGGGTAGATATATATAGATCGTGTGATTTGAAACTTAGAAGCTGCACATGGGGGATAGACCCCCATCCTATCTTTGGTCCAAAGTCCATTCGAAAAAGCTGTGAGGTCTGTCAATATCGTCGCATCATCTTGATCCAATCAATTGGGAATACAAACACATACAAACACCAATTTGACGGTACATGCAAATGTGCCCCAAATTCTATCACCTTTTCATCACAAGGATCACCTTTCAACGTTCTTCGGATCCCACCCAATTCTCCACCCTTTCCACCCAGTATACCCCTTTCCACCCACCGCGGCACATTGACGATGGTATCCAGCGTGGTCCCAATCAAGCCCAGTGCAGTCAAGGCTTGCAGTACGTCCACCACGCAGTTCGTCATGAAGACCTCCGGCCCGCCGCCCAGAAATAGCCGTCGTGCCGTCGTGCCGTCAGCACCGTCAGGACCCATGCCGGCGGCCGAAGCCCCGGCAGGGTCGACCAAGTTGGCGATGCTGGCGCTGCCAAAGTTGTCCTTAAGGCAATGGCTTGAAGAAGATCGTCAGGTCTAAAAATTGGGATCTAACCAACACACATATTAATGTATATGTATATAATATATATATATGTATAATATATATATATATAATTATATATATATAATTATATATATATAATTATATATATATATTATACATATATATAATTATATATATATATGAATTTCATATATAAAGCTGATTGAAGGAAAACGTATGATTGAAAACCCCTTTTGGGCCTGTCCAATATATTAAATGTGTTCCTGCAATCTTTCCCACAAACCAAGTATGACAACTATTACAGTATGTCTGGTGCCTTGGGACACGTAGGGGAACACCTTGATGGGGTCACCAACAATTGCAGCTACCCTCAAAAAAGATATATATATAAATTATTGTAGATTTAAAATGATTTAAACTCATACTTTTTCTTTCTTTGTGGGGGTCCCCAATACAACTCTGATGCTAATCATCATACTCTTCTGGATCAAAAGCCTGTCCCGTCAGCGACGGCAAAGCTTCTGGCGTCAGCGAGCTTTCCAAGCGCTTGATGATCTCAGAACGTTCACCTAGAAGCGCTCGGAAACTGCGGGGAAGTTAACTAAGTTGTGGTATTTGTTAATGGGTTGGTCTACCCTCCAGTAATCAAACGTGGCTTGCTGGAAAATCCACCATTTGGTCTAGTTCGATGATTTTCCCAGCTAGAAACCTACGGATATTTACTTGGGGGATTTCCCAACTAGCCATGCTTGATTACCGGAGGATAAGGGAAATTTGTACAGGAACCATTGTGTTTACTCCCAAATAAATTGTCCCCTGAAAAGAATCTGAGAACTAACTTCGCAGGAAGTTCCCATGGGAATGCCCTTCCTGTGGATCTGTTGGACAATCCTTGGAGATTGGCTACAGCAGTTTTTTAGAAAATCAAAAGATCCATAGTCCCCATAACCCATTCAATCCCCATCGCAACCCCATTAATCCCCATACCGCAAAAACGAAACCACGATTGGATACATGTTCATTTGGTGCATCCGGACATAGGGGATCGTTAACATTACCAGGGATGCTATTACCATTCCTCATTAGATATCTCCATTATACCCCCATGAGATCCCCTTATACCACCATTTTTCATGGCTAAATCCTTACACAAACATTGTAATCCATGTTCAGACCCAGGTCGTTTATATACACTAAGTCCCAACTATTTATAGTTCCTTTTATGTCCAAACTGTTGGTCAATTTCTCCGTTGGAGTACATCCTGGAGGCTATCCATATTGGCCATACTCATCCCCATGTCAGGATGGTTAAACCATGTGCTGTACATAAAACTCCCTTGTCTGATGATAAAACCACCACTTTTTCAGGAAGAGGACTAATACGGATTTATGGTAAAGAAAAAAGATGCATATGTATATATATATATTATAGAATAATCTTATTCCCGCAATATGTTCAACAGCCCCTATATTTCTATGGTCCCATTTATATATGTGTACATCCCCAACGAAACCATGGCTTTTTTTTGGGGGGGTGTCTAAGATGAAAAGGGGAAGAGATTGGTGGATGTAAACAATATGTATATATATATACCCTCTGGTAATTTAACATAGCTATTGAAAATGGCCATTTATAGTGGATTTTCCCATGAAAAATGGTGATTTTCCATAGCTATGTTAAATTACCAGAGGGTACCCCCATTATACCACCACATCTTTGATGGTTAAATCATGTTAAATCCTTATTATGCAGGCCTAAATCCAACCCAAGATTAATGCTAAATACCTACATACAATAACTCCCAAAAAGGCCAAATAGAATCAAATAGATACAAATAGATACAAAGAAATACAAATACAGTAGATGCAAAAGAGAACTATCGCTATTTTAGCAGGAATTCATCCAATTATATCTTTTTGGAGGTTGGTATATTACCCTCCGGTAGTCAATCAAACATGGCAACGGACAATCCCCAAGTTATAGATTATTCTCCCATTAAGACCTCCATAGGGGATTTCCCATTGCCATGTTTGATTACCGAAGGGTCCATTAATTATCCATTATCCATTATCCATTAATTATCCATTGTCCATGAATTATCCATGAATCATCCATGCCATATTCCTTATCCATTATCCATCAATAGTCCATCAATATTCCATATTAATGTCCCACAGCGCCAAGGTGCTTGGTGACATGTCCCCCAGTGTATGACTCCCGAAGGTTGCCGCACTCCTCAGGACGTAGATAGAAAACTTGGACGCCTGGAAATATGAGGTAAATATCTGGCAAACATACACAAAACTATGGAAATATCCACCATGTTTAATGGGTAAATTAACTACTTCGACTGGGCCATCTTCAATAGCAAACTGTAAACGTTTACCAGAGAGTAAATATCATCTGTACCATCCCGGAATCACTGTTCTATCAGTATCTTTTGGGAAGAATCCATATTGGTCCATTAAGATCTCAGTCTCCATTGTCGCCATATGATCTCTCATTAGATCCCATATCCCTATTTAAATCCCAAATTCTTCCCTTGAAATCCGCATTAAAATCCCTCAAAAGTGCTAAGAATGGTGTGGTGAAACATCATCATCCTTCGATCCGAGCTTCAACGATGACAAGTTTTACACCTATGTAGCCTATGGATGTTTCCTAAAATGAAGGTACACCAAAAATAGATAAAACATGATAAAACCATGGTATTATCAATGGGAAACCTCAATATCCTCTAGGTGAGTAAGTCCCCCATTTCTGCATGATCCTATTTATAGGGTCATAAGCCCAGTCACTACCCATTTGCGAGCCGTGGGATGATCCTCCAAATAGGCAGGATCAAAAAGGTGGCGGGAAAAATTTCGGGAAAACCCGAAATGTCTGCGCTCGTTTCCTGGGATGGCAGCCCTTACAGAATCTTACAGACACAAATCAAAAGTAACAAGAAAAATCATGAAAATGGATCATTCATGGATATTTCATGGATAATTAATGGATAATCAATGAATAATTGATGGATATGTCATACCTCCGGGAATCAAACGGGGCGATTGCTGGGAAAATCATCGAGCTAAATGGTGAATTGTCCAGCAGGCCATGGTTGATTAGAGGAATGGTAAAAAAGGATTAGAATCCCCATTGTTGGCGGTGAGATGCCATGGAAATCCCATGAAAATCCCATGAAAATCCTATGTCAATCCCATGAAATCACCAAAACTCTGCCATCAACAACTCCTATTCCCATGTCATCACATGGGTATGGGTCAATACCTATAGATACATTTTTAGTGGGATGAACATCCATTTACCAGCTATTTTGATGTTCACCAGGCATACAAGGTTTTGACACACTGCCACATGTCACTGCCACATGTCACATCCCATGTCACATCCAAGGTGCGACCCCAGAGAGGCCAGCCCTGATGTCAGCTGTTTCTCCAAGCCCAGGGTCAGGATCTGGCAGCCTTCGCCGGCAATTTAAGACTCGTAGTCAACGTCTAAAATTTTTGCTGGGATGTATATTCATGCAAGATATTGTAGATATCATGTATAAGATTTAAGATATCATTATAGTATAATGTATGACGTATATATTGTGTAATGTAAGAAGTATGTAAAATATATACAGTAATATAGCGAATATGTGCGAATATAGTATGTAAACCCATCTACTACAAGGCTATGGGCCACAATCCGTTCAAATAGATACAGGTCTGAGCTGGGTTTGTCTGACAATGTTCACGAAAAAACACATGCCATTGATTATAGCATATTATAGGTTTATCATGTTCCCCATGTAAAATTGCCAAACATGGGGAATGGCTCCATGTTTGGACAAACCGATCTGGTCGGCTGGTCCCGATCTGATTGGTTCAGATCTGGGGATGGATCGAAACCGACTAGGCCATATATTTTGCGGCATCTTCAACCCATCCTTGAGTCCGAAACAGCCGAAAAAATCTGTGGTCATCTAACATATATATGGAAAATGGATGAACATGGCCCGTGCATCTATGATTTACCTGACGGTCGCTTTCCATAGCTATATGAAAAAAAAAATGGCCTATAGCCTATAGGACCTTTTTTTGATTTGGCTATGGATCAATACCTATACATACCATTTTTAGTGGGACGAACATCCATTTACCAGCTATTTTGGTGTTCACTAGGTACCAGGGTTTTGACCCATCCCCATTTTGAGGGTAGGTCTCAAAATTGGGTGACCCCAATGTTTTCAGAAGGAAACCTCGATTTGGCCCATCCCTAGAAACCCCAACCCCACCCGGAAGTGCACCTGGGATTGTTATCCTTGGATGCAGAAAACCAAGGAATGTTACTGGCGGAAATATGAAACATTACCCTCTGGTAAACCAACGTAACTATGGAAAATCACAATTTTTCATGGGTAAATCCACTATTTCTATGGCCATTTTCAATAGCTATGTTAGTTTACCAGAGGGTACTCTCCTGACAAAATGGACAAATATTGGCAACAAATCCAACAAATCCAACAAAGACCCATCCCCACAACATGAAACACCCCCATTTTTCGGTCCCAGTCATATGTGATTTCCCTACATCCATCATGGTTGGCACTCAAGGTGGCCTTCAGAAGCCTGCAATCTTTAGTGATGAATGATACGAGTACACGGACAATTGTGAAAACATTCTAAATATAAATTGATTGATAAGCCCAGGAGAAATATATATTGATATACTGTATATAGTGTGAACAAATGGATCCTTGTTCTGGATGTAGTTATTGAGCTGTGATACCCGTTATGCTGGTAGCTTTGGACAGCGTTACGGCATTGCAAGCGGAGCTCGGACTTTTCCTCGCGCAGGGGCTTGAGCCAGTACGGCGTTTCAATGCACAATCACATATGTACATGATAAGTGTCCTAGCGTTTAGTTCCCTTTGACACCCCC